AGGTCACTGCCTTGGAGTCTGCCCTCCTTGAGCAGACACAATCAGTTGAAGAGGCACTGAATGCACAAGTTTTCCATCTTGAGTCTACCCTTGCAGCAGAGAGACATTCTGCTAAAGAGGCCCTCAACAACCAGCATCTTGCCCTGGAGTCTGCGTTTGTAGCAGAGATGCGGGCAGCTGAGGAGACCTGGAACAAACAGGTCCTCACTCTAGAATCTGCTCTCGCTGCTCTCTCAGATTAAAGCCATAGCGGAGGAGCTCCAAGTCAAAGTGGACCAGAAAAACATGAATAAGAAAAGGAGGAGGTGGTTTAAGTGGTGGCAGTAAGTCACCCTCCAGTCTGAACCAAACCTCATCATAACCTGTGTCTGTGTATCTTACCTTTCCACTGCAGATACTGTAAGTGGCATAAATGAGTTAAGGCACGACACAAAGGTCCTGAATTATAATTAAAGAAGCAAATTAGAAATTTCAAATGACTCTGAATGTTTTTTTCTTTTCAATACAGATTGTATAGAATCCAGAGCAACAGATGGCAAATAAGCTCTGCCGATATTTATAGGACACTTTTTTATAATTTTCCCTCAAATTTTCAAATTTAAATTTACTACCTCACGAAACCATAGCCGCGTATCACCGCAAAGGCGACTCCACCGAGAGCTGTAGCAGGACGAACACGTGCAGCACTGTCTCTGTGTTTGTCAATGGGAAAGCCGATCAGACTCGACTGGGCGCGTTTAGCCGCTTGTATCAGGTCTACAGTAAAACTAACAGCTGAACACACTTGTATTTACCTTCTGTACAGGCTGACCATGGCAAATGCCAGGATTTCAAAAGTAAATTTTAAAGCACTAATTAACAGTATTTCTGGACCTGGGCTCTTTCACCTGACACAGAACTGCCCCAGGAGCATGTTGTGCTGGTGGTAAATGCACAAATACAACCAAAGATCCATTCTCTCTGTGTATTTTGATGGGGATATGCGTCTACACTCGCGTAGAGTGTCAAAAAATAAGATGGATACTATTTTCTGAAATCTACGTGGACAGAACGTGCTGCTCCATACGTGCATCTAGCACGTATTTCTTATTCTGTAAAGCACTTTGAATTACTTTATGTACGAATTGTGCTATACAAATAAACTTGCCTTGCCTTGCCTTGCCTAGCAGTGGAGCCGCCCTCAGTCACTTCCCATGCATTCTAAAAGTTACGCTTCCGAAAGTTGCAGTTTTTACGCTCGCGTAGGGCGAAATATGCATGCAGTGGAGCCAGGCCCTAAGGGCATGGTTTTGTGAAGTAATGACACGGGCGCATCCTCTATGTCCGGGCGGCCCTCTTCTCTCCTACTAGGTCAGGAATGGGAATACACGGGCACCGGCCAATCAGAGAAGAGCCATACATTCTGTGTTGACAACGATTCCCAAGATCGAGGATTTAAAACCGGAACAAAGAGAATGTTTGGTGAATTTTATCAAGGGGAAAGACATTATTGCCCTTCTTCCTTACAGGACTTGGGAAAAGCTTAATATACCAGTTAGCCCCGTTAGCGGCGCATTACATACATCATGACCAAATAGCAGTGATTGGTTAAATTTAAAAAAGTACCTGCCTACTGTCAAGTGAATGAATTCTAATACTGCGAGGTCAGACAGTTTCCATGAAGTGAAACCGGCTGATGAATCAGGCAAAATTTTACTTTGTGGCTCATATGACACGTTGGTTGTCACCCAGCAAGCATACTGCAAACAAGGACCAAAACTAATCAAATTTACACAATAGTTATTATTTGACTAATAAAAATAATTGACAGCACCTTTTTTGTAGATTGAATGTTTAAACTGTCACAAAAATGTGTTCCTTGTGTGTAAATTGTGCCTCCATTTTGGCAGGAATCAGTGTTGATTCTGATTTGGTTTAGATTTTTGACTTCCTGTAGTTTTGTACTTTTCTTCTCTACTTTTTTCCCAAAAACTGCCTACTTAATTGGAATAAAATTATGATGAATATTCACCCATATACTGTAAAGTGGACTAAGGGAGTGTGACATTACGCATAGCCTCCGACTCCAGTCAAATGAAGCTCACCGAGGTTCACAGTTACAGAGGCAAATTTGGAGCCGAGTTTCATATTACTAACAAGAAATAAATCAGGATCATATAGAGTGTTACGACCAAATGAGGAGAAAAGGGGCAATTTTTTTATTTATTTATTTTTTCAATACAAAGTGAATTGGAGTAGATGGAGCTTGTAGCTTGCCCATGCACACTTCCTGTTTGGAATGCCCTATGTCCATTTATATACAGTCTATGTATTCACCACAGGAAGTACCGCACCAAACTAAGTAGTAATCATAAAAACATGAAAACCTGTCATATAATCATTTATAATCATACCTAATCATGAGGTACCTGGTAATTTCCAGCCCTGTATGCACACATTGATAGTAAGTACTGCTGTATATAAAATGCTTGGGTGTAAATATTTCTGGATGTTGTTTTGATTGCACATTTGACAGCTGCTTTGCTGAGCCCGGGGTTCGCTCCGAGGCAGTATTTAACATGTGAGGAGGCCATAAACATAGAGAAAGACTCCTGTTTGGTAGCACCTTCTCACTGCAACTTTCAGTAAAACCTGGTGTACTGCCACAGTGAGAGCATCAGTGTTGTGTTTTGGAAAGAAAGAGAGGATTAGATGGACCGCTCATGGCAAATTTACAAATAACGTCTAGAAATCTCATAACTCCAGTGACACAATCGAACTCAGATTCTTCAAGACAAACGTCATGTCCGCACTTTTAAAAGATGACAAAATAAATTGAAAAATGCCTGAGTGAATGTTTGAGAACAATCTTTCATCAGCAACGAAAGAAGTGCTTAAAAAGGGCCAAAATGAAAAGCATCCTAGAAATGGTGAACGAGAGAAAATGGTCGTACTGGAGATATGTAATGAGGATGCAGAACCACAGGAGCCCCCTGGAGTCCTGAAAATGATCACCAGCGAATAAAAGCGGCAAAGAAGGCCCAAAGAAAGTCTAAAAAGAACACTAAGACGGGTGCACAGGCCTGGGGGACGACAATGGAACAGCTGGAGATCAATGTTAAGCAGGGTCCAATGGCAAAAGATGCTCTCTGCCTTCTGGATTCTAACAGAATGTAGAAGCACTAGAGCAGATACATTTTTCTCCCTTGTACACCACATTTCTCCGTGTTCTTCCACAGGGCTATGGTTACATGTTATTCAGCTTGTAGGTAAAATATTAGGGTAGAAAGTATACTGTATACTGTATAACGTATAGTATCTATGAGTATTACGCTGAGCTCTTACTTGAATAGTATTTTAATCAAATCGAGATCAAATAGAGGTGTAATAATATCCAGGTCTCACGTTGCGATATCATCACGGTATGAACCTCACGGTACGATATATATTGCGATATCATAGGTAAGCTCACGATATGGTGGGGAGGCTCACGATTAGGGATGTAACAATATCCAAATCTCTCTGTACGATATTTATTGTGACATTTTGTGGAGGCAAACAAAACTGTTAATATGCTACTTTTTCCTCGCCTTGACAAGACTTAATCCAAAGAACTAAGACTTAAAAGTGCTTAAACCTGTTATTTCTTCTTGTAGTCTGCACTAAAAGCAAAGCAAAGGATCATGGTCTATGTAGTCCCCTCTGTCTTTTTTTAGCTATTGCTGCAACCGTAACTCTTAATTTAAGCAAAGAGAATTGTAATTCGATATATTTTGATGGTCCATGATATTACTGTGAGAACTTTGATGATATGATATCACAATATTTTGGTTACTGTTACATCCCTAAGATCAAATGTTCAGTGACTGGCTTGGTACACAGTCAGTCTGTTAGAAAAATTGTGTGGTCTGAAGCTCAGTTTAGACTTTTGAGGAAAAAATTTGACTGTTTAATGTTTAATGACACTGATGGTGTGCTCATGCTCGACTGATTTGGTCCTAGTTTGAGCCCAGTTTGGTTCTGATGTACACTGGGTTTAGTTCTGTTCTGGTCTTGGTTTAGTCTTGATCTAGTCCTGGTTTAGTTTTAGTAATGTGGTGAATGTGTAAGAATGGTGTAAGAAATCCAATTGCACCCTTAAATGTCTGTTTCGTTTATAAAATCTAAATAAAATTGTGATTGATCAATATGAGGCAAAAATATATATATATTTTTTGCCATATAGCTCATAAAGTGGATACTAAAATATTATCTCCTATTCTGTCTATTTATTTCCACCTTCACCTGTTCACTGCATGAGGTAAATTGTCCTTGCTGTGAATGTGAGATAGGCCAAGTGCCTCCTGCTACTGAACACAAAGAACAAACACAGACCAAAAAATACACTAAGAAAGACATCAAAGTGTTCCTAGTCCAATCTCTCATGACTATTTCATGTTTCCGCGGACATCTGAGTGTAGACATCAGTGCATAGACATATATGTATAGACATGGCCAGTGCGAGCATGTCCTACATAATTCAAGTCCTGTATCCAGCAGAACCAATCCATCTTTCAACAAATATAGGAGCTCCATACATTATGCATGATGTTTCTTTTGCCAAAATGAACTTATGTAGTACATGACACAATTCTGCTGTGATAAGAATGTACCATTATGGAATGTGCATCACAGTACTATAACTGTTTTAGTGCTGCCAGGGATTTATTTTTTTCTAAATTATTATTATGCTAGATCAGATTTAAACTTTATCATAATGTATTAGTATGAAACAAAACTATGAAGTCTAATAGTTTAAACTCTGGTGGTGGGTGACTTGATATAGGGTCTTATTGTTCTAGTTAAACAGTTCGTGCAGTGACACGGGGGTCTTCCTTTGCCCTATGTTTTCCCTGTGGGACCTGCATGTGCGCCCTCCGTGGGACTAATTACTGGCGCGGAAGGTGATGAATGACCCTCTTATGTAGGTAGGCTACACTCATGTAAACGTGCTCAAATAGACACACACGGTTTAGTTTTACCTCCAGTTTTTCGATGCGGTCTTTGAGCTGAGCGATGGCCTGCTCCAGCTCATCCACGGCTCTCACGGTGAGTATGTGTGCGCTGTCCGGCCCAGAGTCCGGACTGTCCCGGACCATGTGCTCCAGGTGGAGGTCCTCGGTAGTGCCTCCCCACAGCCCCGCGGGACCTCCGCGCCTGGTGCGGCCGTGGAGTCCCTTCTCACACTCGGACAGTTTGCCCGTGAGTTCCTGGATAGTGCGCTGGTCGTTCAGTATCTGGTCCTTCTGCTGGAGCACGGTCTGCCGGAGGTCGTCTGCCGTGGTGCGGAGGTAGCCCCAGTCTTCTCCCGCGTAGAGCGAAGGGTCGTCGGCTTGTTGCTCAAACTTTCCCTCGTTGCACTCTCCGGCGGGTATGGGCGTGCAGATGAGGCGGCTCACGGCGGGGTCGTGCCCGGTGAGTCCGGTCACTCCGCTCAGGCCGATGTTAAAAGTGGGCGCTTCGGGGCCGGGTGTTTCAGAACCATGGAGAGCTCCCAGAGAGCTGGCCCGAGCCGCAGAGCCTCCCGCGGCCGGAGTGTTCACCGCAGAGTCCGGGTACACGGACTGGTTCTCAGAGACGGGCTGCTGCTGCGCCGCGGCCGCTCTGGAGGAGCCAGTGTGCACCGCGGCGATGATGCAGATGACCGCTCCGATAAACGCCACCATCCCGGCGGCGAGGATCACCACAATGAACTTCAGGGTTGCGGCGGGCTACGGCTCCAATTTGGAAAAGACGCAAAAACTCACTGCAGGCGGTCTAACGGGGGGAAGTGAAAGGTCCAAAACAGGCGCAAAAAAGCCCCAATCATCAACTAGCTGTCCTCATGTGACCAGTCCCGCTACAACAGTCCTCTGAAACAGTCCCTCAGCAAAGCCAAGAGCTGATGGAGAAAACATGAGAAGGAGCCGTGAGGAGCTTCTCTCCTCCTCCTGCGTGCAGCGCGCATGTCCTCACACTCCAGCCTGTGCTTGTACACGGAGAGGCACGAGACAGAGTGGGAGTGAGTTATGACACTCTCCACGCTGCGTGGAAATCACCTCTCACTGCTCATCCTCCTGCTGACCGCCTCGTAACTTTCCCCAAACGAGTTTAGAGCAGACCTGTGGTGCTGAGGCGGCAGTCTGCGCTCTGTCACTGCACTGCGCGCTTACACATTGATTTTTCGTCTTCATTAATATGCATCAATGCTGAAAATGTGTTTCCCCTTTCCCTCTGGCTTAATATCTCCAGCTCCGCTCCGCAGCAGTAATGTGCTGTGTGAATGGGATGTTTGTGTGGCTGTAAGTCAACCTGCGGGCTCCCAGAGGAGCAGCTACAGCCACGGCACACTGATCACCGCGCTGTGCACACGCAGCTCCTGCTCCTGTGATTAGACTACTACTATACTGCTACTACTACTGCTACTACTACTGCTACTACTGCTACTACTATACTGCTACTACTACTGCTACTACTACTATACTGCTACTACTACTGCTACTACTACTATACTGCTACTACTACTACTACTACTACTACTGCTACTACTACTGCTACTACTACTACTACTACTGCTACTACTACTATACTGCTACTACTACTGCTACTACTACTAACTGCTACTACTACTGCTACTACTACTATACTGCTCCTACTACTGCTACTACTACTGCTACTACTACTATACTGCTACTACTACTGCTACTACTACTATACTGCTACTACTACTGCTACTACTACTATACTGCTACTACTACTGCTACTACTACTATACTACTACTACTGCTACTACTACTGCTACTACTACTGCTACTACTACTATACTGCTCCTACTACTGCTACTACTACTGCTACTACTACTATACTGCTCCTACTACTGCTACTACTACTACTACTACTACTGCTACTACTATACTGCTCCTACTACTGCTACTACTACTACTAATGCTACTTCTGCTACTACTGCTCTTGTTGCTGATACTGCTGTTAGAGCCATCTGCATTTTGTAACAGCGTGTAATTAAAAGGTAAGTATTATGAATAGGTTTCACATCATAAATCCTGTCTCCATATGTGGACTGAAGTAGACAAAGGGAATTCTCTCGTAGGAATGTAAAATACAGTCCTCACGTGTCACTAAATCACATTAAACAGATACTTTATCTGGCCCCAGGGAAATCCAGAGATCGTTGTTACAGTGGCCTCTAAATTTTCTCAGCGTCATTCAATACAATATATCGACTTTCTAAAAAGTGAATACTACGTAATACATATACTCCATTAAAGTGTATTTATACTTCTACTGTTCCATCCATTAATTAATAATACTGAGCTTGGATCAAAGCATCAAGACCACGCGTGCAGTTCAAAGGGCCCGTATTACATCATTTTCATTTTCCTCATCAGAAAACATATAGAGTTGAGTTTTGTTTCAGTCACACATTTAGTTCTTTTTTTTCGAACAGAACACACTGTTCCACCTTGTGATGTCATGTGGGAATACAAGAAGTGCTGCACTGTGTTTTTAAACCCCACACACCTTTACTAGAATCCAAAGTATTCAGATTATGTTACTCACCTAAAGTAATTTAATGGATTCTGTTACAAACTACATTTTGGGGTATGTAATCTGTAATCTGTGATCTGTAGGGAAATACATTTTAAAAGTGACCTTCCCAAGACTGATTTTCTGTAATATAGAACCTTTAGTAGGTGTAGTGTTTAGCTGAGATGGGGACAGGGAATATTACTAGTATGCAGATTTTGTGGCACAGTTGGATTTATTTGTCACTAACAAAGATTACAATTTCAGAATTTTCATTTTAAATAATTGTCTTACACATTACAGAAATACTGGCAACTGCCTAATCTATAAAAGTTACATAATTGTATTCTAAAAGCTGTAAACAAGTAGCAGTAGCTATTTAAGTCGTCTAAGGTAAAAAGTTGAAGATGATTGTAATTCTGGGCATGTCTTGTAGGCGCCATGAGTTGGTGATAAATCTGCACCCGCCAAATGAGGAAGCACTAGGAGACATCAGCACGGTCCAAAACACAACAGAGACTCTGACGGGGAGAGAACTAATGGTAAAAAGTTTAGGCTACTTTTAGTTTGACTCTAAGCCTATGAGAAGCATCGGTGTGTTAAAGGGCCCATATTATGCCAAAGTGAGTCTGGTGAACTTTAAGCCGTGTTATATTGTTGTTATCATCAAAACATACCTTTAGTTATGTTTTGTTTCATTCACACATGTTTGAGTAATGTTTCCGTTAGTCTGTCTACATCACCAAACCTCAAAATGCTCTGTCTCACCTTGTGATGTCATGAAGCAATAGTTTTCATGTAGAGATTGGCTGTTCCTGGGCTGAAATGATCCAAATGCAATTTAAAAACATAGTGGAGCACTTCCTGTATTACCACATGACATCACAAGTGTTTACTAAGAAGAACTAAATATGCATTGTCTTCTAAAATGTGTGAATGAAACAAAATACAATCCTGGGTATGTTTTAGATAACATTTTAACATAGATCAGTAAATAGCGTAATGTGGGCCCTTTGAATGTTTTAAGGCATTGTTTCCTAAAGACCGGGTCGCGGCCCTCAGGTGGGTCGCCAGAGATTTTTTTGGGTCGCCTTGTCACAATCTGCATGTAGGTCTGCGATATACAGTTCTGATCTGTGACCTTATTGTCATTCAGGATAAGCATTTAGTCAGAATATCCTGTCCTCACTAGGGCCACTATTTCTATGCTTATTCCTTTCACTACTACAGCTACATATATTTGTGAATTTGGGTTTTCTGTGCTCACAAAAATAAAGACAAAGCACAGAAACAGACTGAATGCTGCGCCTGATATGTGTTTTGCTCTCCTCCTGCACCCGGACTGGAACGTGTTACAGAAACGCAGACAGGCCACCTATCTCATTAGAAATATTGAAATGTTAAGACATGTTTTGTATAATTTCTACTCTTTTTGTAATTATTTTACCGACTATTTTGTTCCAATATTGCTGGTTCAATTGAATGTTGAAAAGAAAAAGAAATGGGCTTAATTTAATGTCCAAATAGGCGACTTATGGAGACATTTTATTGCTGGTTCAATTGCTGTTTTTCATTGTTTAAAACTTGAGTAATACTAATTGTTCAGAGAGACACGATCACTCAGTCAACAAAAAACTATCCTCAATAATGTTCAATAATGGTCAAATTCACCTTTATTTTGTGATTTACGAATAATGTCTCTATGTCGCAAAGTTATGGCTCCCCAGAAAAACCTTTGGGAAACCCTGCTCTAAGGTCTTCTAAACTATCTTTTTGGTCAGCTACTGTACAAGTAAACAGATTTATTTTTCAACCTTCACAAGTTTAACATTCTCCTCACGTGTCTTGTTTGTTAATGGCGCCCTCTAGTGTTTTTCTCTCTTCATTTACACGATAAATACACTACTATGAACCATGAACCATCCCTAGTTCCTGCAGTAACCCTACACCAGCGCCTGCTCCCCTGCCTCTGCCCCCCCTCTGCTCTCTCAAAGGGAATACATCAGCACCAGATGGCACCTGCGCCTTTGTCGTGGCAGTTCACGCTGAGTTCACTGACTCCGACACAGAACGGGGAAAAAAAGCTTCATGATGATAAGTCTGGGAGACAGCTGAGGTGGTGTACACAGGCCGTTCCCAGTCTACGCAGTGCTCTGGGTAAGAAATAAAATCGATATGTTTTTTCCACAAGTAGATTTGATCGGACTGGGCAGCGCTGCTCAACTTCTAGACCCAGTTTTATGGACTGTTGCTACGTAGATTTGAGATGACAGTATTTATTAGATGAATAATATTTGATACAGATGAGGGCAGCTAAATTAATATAGTTAAAGTTACACGTTTTTGTTATAATATAGTGAGTTTATTGGTTTAGTCACTGAAAAAAATTATCAGGTTCAACATTTGTGAATTTTGCTATTGGATATTTCATGGGCAGTGCTGCTTCAGTTGTTTATGAGTCTATAACTGCTCCATAAAGGGCTCCCATTTTCAGTAATCCTGCATTATTATTCTGTCTACATTGTCATGCAGTGGTAGTTTTCAAGTTAACAGCTACCTTTTACGTTTAATTCAGTAGAGATGTGCAATTCCAGGGCTGAAATCATCCAAATGATTCTAGCAAAGTTGTGCGGAGTTTAAAAACACAATGGACCATTTTCTATATTACAACATGACATCACAAGGTGGAACAGAGTGTTTTCATCTGAAGAGAAGAAGCCTATGCAGGGTTTGTGTGTTAAACATGTGTGAATGAAACAAAACTCAACTCCAGGTATGTTTCTGATGAGGAGACAGCAGAAAATAATGTAATATGGGCCATTTAAAAGTCAAAAGTGACAGAAAAATGGGAGTTTTATTTAAACTTGACTCAAATTCAGACTGCAAAAAAGTACATTTCCGAAACAGATTTTATCTAATTGGGCAGCGCTGCTTAAATTTGACATTTATCAGTTTTATATATCAAGACTAAATCTGCTCTTATTACGGTCAAACGTGTATTTTGAGCATAAGTAACTTAAATGTGGATTACAACAAACTGCACTTACATTTCACAAGCAGATTTGATCAAACTGTGCAGTGCAACTCTTACATAACAAGACTATATCTGCTCCTATAGTCAAATGTGGCAGAGAATATGGAGTTTTATTTGAAATATTAGTGCATCAGATGTGGACTGCAATTTTATGATTAAATTAGGCTGCACTGCTCAACTTCTAGATTCTTCAGTTTTGTATAACAAGATTATATCTGCTTCGTTAAAGAGCTCATATTACACTATTTTCTGATCTAAGTTTTAATGTTGTTCCTTCATCAAAAACATACCTGGAGTTGTGTTTTATTTCATTCACTTGTTTATAACACACAACTCTTACACATTTAGGCTGAATTCTTCTCTCAGATGTCATGTGCTAATACAGGAAGTGCTCCACTGTGTTTTGAAACTCCATACACCTTCTCTAGAATCATTTGGATAATTTCAGCCCTGGAATTGCCAAGCTCTACTGAACTAAAGGTAAACGGTAACTTTAAAACTACCACGTCGTGACATCACAAAGTGGAACACAGCATTTTGCGCTTTGGAGATGTAGGCAAACTAATAACAAAGGATTAGAAACAAGTAGAAACAATATCCAAGTCTCACGATACGATATCGTCACAGTATGAACCTCACAATACAATATTTATTGCGATATTGTGGGAAAGCTCACGATATGGTGGGGAGGCTCATGATTAGGGATGTAACAATATCCAAATCTCTAGGTATGATATTTTCACGATATACATCTCACTGTATGATATTTATTGCGATATTTTGTGGAGGCTAACGAAACTGTTAATATGCTACTTTTTACTCTTAAAATACCTTGATAAGACTTAATCCAAAGAACTAAGACTTAAAAGTGCTTAGAACTGTTATTTCTTCATGTAGTCTGCACTGAAATGGAGCAAAGGATCATGGTCTATGTCGTTCCCTCTGTATTTTTTTGAGCTATTGCTGCACCGTAACTTTTAATTTAAGGAAAGAGACGTGTAATTCGATATATTTTGATGGTCCATGATATTATTGTGAGAACTTTGACAATACAATATCACGATATTTCAGTTATTGTTATCTAGAAACAAAGAAACAAAACACAACTCTGAGTATGTTTTTGTGGAGGTTGCGTTGTAACATGACTTAAAGCTCACAAGAGACGATTTAGTGTAATATAGGACCTTTAAAAGTCAAATATGTATAAAAATGTGCAGTTTTATCAAAAAAATTTAGTGCCTCAAATGTGAATTACAGCTTTTATAAACTAAATAAACATACAAAGAAGTACATTTACTACTATCTGAGCAGCACTACTCAACTTCTTTGATTCTTAATTTTTATAAAACAAAGCTAAATCCACTCCATAAAAAGACCATCAAACTTTAGACGTTTTAACTTTAGAATCGAACGCTCTGTCCAACTGAGATAATGGTCTTTATAGCATGTGTCACTGTGGTTTATGGTTCAGTCTGTTTAATTATTTACATTAGTCTCTTCGGTGTAGATTACCTGCAAACAGAGGGCCGGTACCGCACACTACTGACTGACTACACCTTTCTCTTCTTCCGTCTCCCCAGGCGCCACTCGCTTCATGATTTAGACCTGTTTTATCTGACTTTTTTCCAATATGGAGAGAATGAGCGTTGAGCAGCTACATCGCTCCACTTTAGAAATATATTCGGTGAGTATTGTACAACTTTCGCGGGGACGTTACCTGTTCTGTGAAAAATTGAAGTAGCAGTAGTATATTTGTACACGGGTGAACTCTCTCTCTCAAGGATGTAGTATCACAAAGATGTATTGAAACAGTTTGTCCCAATGGTAAAGTTTTCTGAGGTGAGAAATTCTTGTTTTATAACACACTGTATTTTCAGTGTGTGCAGGTTTATGTCTGAAGGAAGATTTGAAGGACACTTGGGCAGATATACGTTTTATTTTGAACACTGTAGAGAAAAGAAAATGCATACAAAAGTACTTTAATTATGTTTTGTATTTCAAACATCAGCTAACTAAAGGCATCCAATTTTTGATGTACTTTCTGATTCAGTTTTGCTTTGCTTTATTTATCTTTAAACAAGTTGTACCACAAAAAGACATCAGATGGAAAAGTTAGTCCTGAGTCAGAGCAAGTGAAAATTCTACCTATTTCGTGTCAAAATCAAGAAGTACTTAAAAAAATTCCTATATATTTTTGTTTTTACATCAATTTCAATTAATACTTACCTTATTTGCACACAAACCTTTACTTTTTGAAATTGTATTGACTCAAAATGAGGATAATAGTACAGTTCATTGCAATTTAAGTCAATATTGTAACTATAAAAATGATTTTGTGTGATGAAAACTTGTGTGTGTGTTAGGGTCAGGGGTCAAAATCACATGAAAACATCCATCCCTGTATTCCTCTGTCTTTTAAGTCGACCAAAACAGCTTACATTTTTACATTTGTAGCTCAATTATCTTCTAGAGAGTTTTCACCACTGTACAATTTATACACATTATTAACAACAAGTTTCTGGTGTTCAAAATAAAGCTTTTATATTTATATTTTTATTTCAGCACTTGTTGGATGAGTTCAACCCGAGCTTACACAGACTGGTCTCTCTGGGGGACAGCTACGTTCAGGCGTTTCAAGGTAAAATATAATGCACTTTTTTATTTTTATTTTTTCCCAGACTTGATGTTCAAATCATGTTTTTATTAGTGCCGCAGTAAAAGTCTTCCACAGTATTATAAACACCTTTGTTCCTTGACATTCCAAAGTCCGTCTGCATATCCTGGATCCTTAACCATCATTTATGAGCCTCTTACTGTTGTTAATACAAAACAATACAAATATAAATGAATACTTGAGATTAGCTACTTCTACTGTTTAATATTATATAGAGGGCTGTAATTGTACTTTATGTTCTAACAGTGGATATTTAGTAATAAAAAAGTGATTAAAACTTATCTGAGAACTTTCTTACAGGTATTGAGTCTGTCAGTACAGTAATATTTGGGTGCGTTCACATTTGCGTATACACCACATCAATATTGGGACTAAGCTGGAACTAAACTTGACCTGGACTAGACCAGAACTAAACCAGGTCTAGAACAAGGTCAAACTAAGCCTACATCTGGACTAAACTGTGCGCAAACCCGGACCAAGTCTGTATAAAGGGCCCATGTAACTTTACTTTCTGATCATCACATTGTTTCCTGGTTGAAACATAAACTACCGGTCAAAAGTTTTAAAACACCACACGTTTTCCAGTTTTTTACTGTTACCAAAACATATTCTAAACTTTAGGTTCATGAAAGTGTCCACCTTTGGCAGATATAACAGCTGAACACACTCGAGGCTTATTTTTTTTTACAATAGAAATCAAATATTCTTCAGAAAGTTTTTCCCAAGTCTGTTGCAGAAGTTCCCATAAATGTGTGGCACTTGTAGGTTGTTTGGCTTTCACTCTTCTGTCCAGTTCATCCCAAACCAGCTCGGTGAGGTTGAAGTCTGGAGACTGTGGACACTCCATGTTTTCAAGTTTACCATCTTGTTCTTTTTTTCTGTGGTAGTTTTGGCAGAGCTTGGACTTGTGTTTTGTATCTTTTATCTTTTCTTTAAACTCTGGCTGTTCAGTTCTTACCTTTGTACCATTTTGAGCTCTTCATTGGACTTGCAGCTTGAATTGCAATAAATAACTGGAAACATTAGGGTGTTTTAAAACTTTTGACTGGTAGTGTACCTGGAGTTGTGTTTTGTTCCATTCACACATGTTTAAAACACAAACCCTGCATATTTAGCCTGAGTTCTTCTCTCAAACTGGAAACACTCTGTGATGTCATGTGGTAATACAGGAAGTGTGTTTTTAAACTCCACACGCCTTCACTAGAATTATTTGGATCAATTTAGCCTTAGAATGTCCAAACTTTACTCAACAAACAGTAAAAAGCTGCTGTTACCTTGAAAATTACCACTTCATGACATCTCAAGGTGGAACAGAGCATTTTGAGCTTTGGAGATGTAGACAGACTAATTGTAAAGGATTACTCAAACATGTGAATGAAACAAAACACAACTTCAGGTTTAGATGAGGTAACAACATTCTTGCATGGCTTAAATCTCACAAGAATCAATTTTGTTTAATATAGAACCTTTAAAATTTAAAGACCAGTATATATATTTTTAGTTTACAGTTACTTAAAAAGTCTTACATTAAAGATAGAAAATAAATAAATCTAAATAAATAAATAAAAATATCTCTTATCAGTTACTTAAAATGCATTCAGTTCATTAATGTTAACAATATTTATATCTTCAACTCTTCAGATTGCAGATATTTTTGATAATTCTTGTCTAATCTTTTTATATGATACCACAATTTAATTTTATCTCCATTACTGAACTAACAACAAGTTGAAGTCATCGAATATAACACAGTAGAGAAAAGAGGACTCCACCTTAGGGTCAAAGTTGGCATGATGTCATTCTGTTTGCTTTGTGTGTGTTGTGTTATAGCCCTGGCTGTAAAAAGTGAGGCCTACTTCACTGCCCTGTCCAGAATGGGAGAGCGGGCTTTCCACTCTCACGCTTTAGGTGAGTCGTGTTCGGAAGAGGAATAAAACATTCCCATTAACAATTCACACCTGTTATCTTTATTATTTATGTATGTATTTATTACATTATATTACGTCTTATTATTAACTGTAGATAACTGTGATACGTCAGGTTAACAAGAGCTGTATTGTTGAGATAATCTACAGGATGTGAATATAAAATGGCCATGCAGTATCAGTGTAAGTAAAAGTACAGATACTGGAGCAAAAAAATACTCAAGTAAAAGTATCACATGAAAAAAACTACTTAAATGTGCGTTGTGTAACTTTTCTGATCGATAGTTTGTCAAATTATTTTATTCCTTTGTCTGGAATGTTTCCCAGTATGGCATTAAACCTTTGTATTTTCATGAAGATCAAACCAGGCCAAGGTACAGGTCAGATCTGTGGAGAGGCGACCCCACTCAAAGTCAGAATTCCTGCTTTTCTAAGTATTTTTGAGCCATAAAACCACCACAAATTTTATAAATGTAAGGTAGAGCTGTTTAATGTCACACTTTGGAACATTCCAGGCAGAGCGATTCACATCTCCATGGAAACAAGCAGGTGACGGACCCCAAACTGAAAAGTTACATTTTCTTTAAGTAATAAAGCTTTAAATATTTTTTTTTGTGCAATTTTTAATATTTTTTTATTTCTACAAATGTGTTGTACTTTTACTTTTCAGTCCTGTTTAAAAATGTAGTGGACTAGAAAGTACAAATACCTGCTCTCAAATGTAGTGAAGTAAAAGTAAAAAGTATCCACGTTAAAACTGATTTAAGTGAAGCACAGATACAATTTGATTTAAGTACAATACTTTTCTCCTTTTAATTCGTTTTACTGTACAAAATTAGCTCTTTAGCACGGTCGAATAGAGTTTTGGCAAAGGGCTTCTCCCGTGGCCACAGGGGGCATGAATAAAACAGTGTGACAGGCAGTGGGCCATGCTCCGTTCACTTACCCCCTCTAAACGGACCAGTTAACATGAGCAACCAGAGCTACTGACCATCCACTGGGCTGAGCTTCACTGACAGCCCTGGAGCGCCGGGAGGACTGGTATTAGACTGTGTACATAAATATATACAGTCTATATGATTACTAAAGTGTTCAGGTTGTTGCTCTAATTGGTTTACTACAAAATGAATAAAAAAATATATGTATGTTTTGTCCAGTGGAAAGTTATTTAGACTTTTTTGTACTTTATTAAATGACTCTGGCAAAAAATGTGGTAATCTTTAAACATGACACTTCAGCCTTGCAGCAAAAAAGCTCCAAAACAGATTTGAGCATTCTGTGTGGAGTTGCATGTTCTCCCTGTGTCTGTGTAGATTTCTTCTGAGGCCTTGACGGTCTTTCACAAGTCTAGTGTGAAATGACAATCTCGACTGTATATATATGGACATAGATAAGCTGCTAGCCGCTGCTTTCTGAATAGAAAGTGACCATGGGCGTGTTTCCAGCTCCACTGGCTTCACTTTGTACTCAAAAAATGTAGAATGATTCATCAGCCAGTTTCACTTCATGGAAACTGTGTCTGACCTCACAACATTAGAATTCATTCACTTCACAGTAGGCGGGTACTTTTTTTATTTGACCAATCAATGCTATTTGATTGTGGTGTATGTAATGCACTGCTAATGAGGCTAACTGGTATATTAAGCTTTTTCCAAATTCTGTAGGAAGAAGGACAATAACGTCTTTCCCCTTTGATAAAATTCACCAAACATTCTCTTTGTTCCGGCTTTAAATCCTCCATCTCGTGAATCGTTGCCAACACAGATTGTATGACTCTTTGCTGATTGGCTGGTGCTCGAACTTGCACTTCCCGGGTTCTTGCAGACCGTCTAGTGTATTCCCATTCCTGATCTAGTCATTGGAGAGAAATGAAACTGAGCAGAGGCACTAGGTGGAGCCAGCCTGGCTAAAAATATTGCCCCTCTCTCTGTAACTGCTGCTTAAAATATGATCCTGGTGTTTTTATTTTGCTATTTTGTCTGTAAATCAGTGCCTATTCATAATATGAACCTCAGTAATAAAACAACAATAACATTCAATTTTATGTGTACTGTTCTCTCTTTCCTGCCCTAAAGGTGATGTTTTAATTCAGATGTCTGAGAGCCAAAGGAAACTCACTACTGAGGTGGAGGGAATCGTAAGTCAAACAAACTGAACTGTCATATTAAAGATGTAGTATCTAACTTTTCTGGTGGACAGTGTTACTTGTATCCACCCAGATTTTTATTCTTCACCTTGAATCTTTTACAGTATGGTATTAAACTTATCTAGCTCCATACAGACAGGCAGGGAGCACAAGTAAGACTAGTTACAGATCATATCTATGGAGAGGAGACCTTGCTTTATTTAGTAATGCATGTTTTGGTTTGTCCTGTATTACACAAAATGGATTCATGTGAGCTTATAGTCATTGATTTGTGCTTTGTTTCATTCACATGTTTGAATAACCCTTTATTATTAGTCTGTCTACATCTCCAAAGCTCAAAATGCTTTGTTCCACCTTGTGATGTCATGTAGTGGTATTTAGTTTAGTAAAGATTGGCAATTCCAGGGCTGAAATGATAGCAGTAGCTCTCAACCCCCTTCCAAGTAGCTCGCCAAGGGATTTCTGAATCATATGCATTGTGCTGAAGAACAAAAAATGTATTTAATTAAATTACCATTGCAAATGTATCATTCTGGTGTCTATCTTTGTGTTCTAATAAATGGATAACAGCCGTGTAAATGTTTTATAGGCATCAAACTGCATCACATCTAAGGCTCTTATATTTACTTCATTTCTCGCAACCTCTAAAATGAGTAGCTCTCCAGCATTTTTGTTTTGTAAGGGTAGCTCCCCAGAGGAAAAAAGTTGGAGACCCCTGATCTAAATAATTCTAATGAACGTGTAAGAAGTTTTAAAATGCAGTTGGAGCACGTCTTGTATTAGCACGTGGCATCGCAAGGTGACTGAGTGTTTTCTGCTTAAATATGGAGGATTTAAATTTGTGTGAATGAAACAAAACAAGACTCCAGGTATGTTTTTGAAGAGGTAACCACATTATAACATAAATCAGAAAATAGTGTAATATGGGCCCTTTAAGGAACCATTGAGCAATGAAAACAAATGTAGTAAATAAACTCTAGATATGTTTACTGGTCTACTGTGGAACATTTCAGACAAAGCAATAAATCCCCACCCCAATACACTTTTAATAAGATCCATTAGTTTCATATATTAATTTCATACCATACTGTGCAGCTTTTTCAATGTCTGTCGATATCTCTCTTTTCAGTACCGCTGGTTCCAAGTGGAAGTTCTGCAGGAGATGGACAACAACGTCAGGATGGACATAGATTACATCGCGGTGAGTGATCGGGGTCAAACGCGAGGCACGGCGGGTCAAAGCGACAACATTATCACAGCCCTTATTACCATGACTGATACATCCTGGGAGCACTTATCCACCAGATGAATGCATATTACACTGTAGAACTCTATAACCTTATGAAGAGCCGATTCATTCCACCTCCTCCCTGCGTACTCTGCCCCGGGACACGAACGGGCGCCATCCCTCTGCCGTGTCTCCGCCAGTGCTAATTTGGAGCTGACAGGAGGCTACGCTAGCTGCATGAGGAGAATGATTATAGTGGTACGTGATGAGAATTCTGCTCTACTCCCACAGGGCAGCAAGAAGCGCTATGAAATGGAAGTCCACAGCCAGGCGGTCGCTCTGGAGAGACAGCACCGCCGAGACAGGATGGGACAGGTGGGGGAATCTGGTTTGATGAAGTTTGTTGGAAATGAAAAAGAGAATTATGAATGAGTGGAGTGTGATTTAGACACAGCAGCCTCGAGAAAAGACACTACAATTGTTTTAGTTGTTGGTCCTTTATTACACAAAAGTGACTCTTGTGAGCTTTAAGTCGTGTTGGAATGTCGAAACATACCACAAGTAAGCCAAGTTACAGATCATATCTATGGAGAGGAGACCTTGCTTTTTTAATTAATGCATGTTGAGGTTTGTCCTGTATTACACAGAATGTGAGCTTTTATTCATGGAGCTTTGTTTCATTCACACATGTTAAGTGAAGTAACCCTTTTTTTACTGTCTGTTTATATCTCCAAAGCTCAAAATACTCTGTTCCACCTTGTGATGTCACGTAGTGGTATTTAGTTTAGTAAAGATTGGCAATTCAAGAGCTGAAATTATCTAAATAATTCTATTGAAGGTGTATGAAGTTTAAAAACACAGTTGGAGCACTTCCTGTATTACCGCATGGCATCGCAAGGTGGAACGGAGTGTTTTCTGTTTAAGAGAAAAACTCAGCCTAAATATGTAGGATTTGGATTTGTGTGAATGAAACAAAATAACACTTTGGGTATGTTTTTGAGGAGGTAACCACATTATAACATAGATCAGAAAATAGTGTAATATGGACCCTTTAAGGAACCTTTGAGCAAAGACAGCACTGCAGAGAAAGGACGGGACAGGTGAGAATCTGGTTTGATCATATTCCAAAGTTTGTTGTCTGTAGTGGGAATGAAAAACAAAATTATGAATGAGTGGAGTGTGATTTAGACACAACAGCCTCAAGAAAAGACACCAAAACTGTTGGTTGAGTACTTGGTCCTTGTGAGCTTTAAACTATTTTGGAATGTTACTATCAGAAACATGCCTGGAGTTGCACTTTGTTGAGTAATCCTGGTTTATTAGTCTGTCTACATCTCCAAAATGCTCTGTTCCACCTTGTGATGATGCCTGTGAAGTGGTAGATTTCATGTTAAAAGCTATAACTTTTACCTTTAGTTCAGTAGAGATTGGCAATTCCAGGGCTGAATTTATGTAAATGATTCTAGTGAAGGTGTTTTATGTTTAAAAACACAGTGGATGACTTATTGTTTTACCATATGAGTGAGTGAATGTGATTTAGAGCCAGAGCAGCCTCAAGAAAAAATATCACAATTGTTTTAAAATCAAATCTTTCATGTGTATTTCCTAGATCCACCAAAAATATTAGATTAGGTGGATGATGTCATGGAGTGAATAGGGATCGAGGGAGCAAAGAGAAACAGTTCTGTGGCGACAGGCCTGTGTAACTGGGGCTCCTGGGCAATTAGATGTGTGACAAAGTAGGTGAGCTGTGGTTTTCAGGTGTGGTTCTGCACTTGAACTGCAGCTAATCAGATTAACTCTGACATCAGCTATCAACTAAAGATTATCTCCTTGGAACCTGTTAATATTTTTATTACTACATTGTTCTTTTTATAATCACAGAGCGTTTTTTGCACTCTGTTAATACTTGATATTGCAATGCTGTATTTTATTCCAAAAGAAAAATACAACTTTGTCAATTGAACAAAATTGAACAAATTTTGCAGCTCACCCAAGCGGCTTCTTCAGTTCTTGTCAGATTACTGGAGGATTATCTGAAGGGAGGAGCTAACTACACTAAAACTAACACACCCATTTGTTTACAGTTTCTGTTTGTTAGCGAAGTCTACTGCACTTCAGTTCAAAGTGTGAATTGTGCCTGAGTCATATTTCCATAATTGTTCAGGGGCCTATTAGCATACTGGCTTTCCCTGTTGTTTTCTTTGTTTTGATTTAGGTCTGAGGAAAGAGTTGTAAATATGAGAAAAATTATGTCTAAATCCCCCATTCCTGTTCAGAGAGGGGTTGTCTTTCCTAACAAAAAATGTCTCTTTAACTCCCCTCTCAAATCATTTCTTATCTTTGGCTAAGATCTGTTAGCCTGATTCATAAGCCGGTTTCACTTCATGGAAGCTGTCTGACCACGCAGCATTAGGATTCATTTGCTCGACGGTTGGCTGGCACTTTTAAAAATTTAACCAATCGCTGCTATTTGGTTCTGACGTATGTAATGTGCCGCTAACGGACCTAACTGGTTTATTAAGTTTTTCCCAAATCCCGTAGGAAGAAGGGCAATAACGTCTTTCCCCTTGATAAAATTCACCAAACATTCTCTTTGTTCTGGCCTTAAATCCTCGATCTTGGGAATTGTTGCCAACACAAAATTTATAGCTCTTCGCTGATTGGCTGGTGACTGAACTCACACTTCCGGGGTTCTTGCAAATCGTCTAGTGTATTCCGATTCCTGACCTAGTCGCTGGAGAGAAATGAAATTGAACGGAGGCACTAGGTCTGGCTAAAGACCTGTATCTCACTGTTCTCAAAGGAGCAGTGAGTGGCTTCGAGATGGAGATGTACTGCAGACTGTGGTCCTGTGTTGCTCTCACAGTTTTGTCCTGTTGACAGAATTGAGTTTTTCTTTTGCTATGTATCCTACCCATAGACTGTATAAAGAAGAGTGTAGTAGTAGTAGTAGTAGTAGTAGTAGTAGTAGTTGTAGTAGTAGTAGTAGTAGTAGTAGTAGTAGTAGTAGTAGTAGTAGTAGTAGTAGTATACAGTCTATGATCCTACCTGAGTGACTACACACAGTCTTTCATTGCAAATTAGGGCCAAAACACAAACCCACAGTGTGTATCTCTCAACTAAATAAACATTTCCTCAAGCTCCTATTTAATATTCTCCGTGTTGTTTCCAGGACATGGGTGAGCACATGCACTTCCTCAGAGACAGCCACCACGATGCCCTGGAGGAGGAGGAGAGGCGCTACCGTTTCTTAGCTGAAAAACACTGCGCCCTCATCCAGTCATTCTCACGTCTAATGAACAAGGTAATCTGCCCACTTTGAGCACGGAGCTTTTAATATCCAGTCATATTAAACGAACAGGAAGCAGGCTCCTTCCACTCAGTAATAATTAGCTGAGATTAGCTGCCGTAGGGAAATTAGCCGCCTTTGTAACTGGGGTCATACTCGGAGCAGTGCTTCAAATGGAGAAACTGACTGCACATTCATTTGAACTTTGGCCCTTCATCATTGCTAACAAGCCCTTTTAACTCTGAGCTGTAAAATACTTTTTCAAGAACAAAAAGATAACCCTGACCTATATATTTGCATAGTTGACATCCCCAGTCTATTAGAACTCAATTTTGTTACTTAAATAAAAGCACAGAGATAGAGGCAAAATGTTACTCAAGTAAAAGTAAACGCAACACATGTAAAAATGTACATATGTAAAAGTATTAAAGTGCCTGTTTAAAAATGTACTTAACAGTTAAATGATGAAATATAGTGATTTTGATAAAGAATTTAGCTGATTTTAAGTGACTGAGTTGATTTCTTAATTTTTTTTTACCTGTTTTTGTGTAGTCGGTTTGGAATACTACTACTTTTCGGAAACTACAAAAATTAAGTCTCAGCCATTTCAGCAAGTCTCACATAATAAAGAAAATACCTTTTTACTTTTCAGTCCAAATTTAAAATGTAGTGGAGTAAAAGTATCCACTGTAAAATTTAAAGTACCTAAATGTTGTACTTAAGTATTGTGCTTTTGCTTTTGTACATTACTGTCCACCATTGATGCTGCTCTTGCTCTTACTCTTAATGTGAACCTAATGAAGAGCTCTGGGGCTGAATTCGTGGTAGCAGGTCGTTCCCACAAGCTAACCTGGAAAGATAAATTATGTCTCAGTAGATGACTCCTCCTGCATACCCTGAGGCGTGTGTGTGTGTGTGTGTGTGTGTGTGCTGCAGACTGGAGCGATATTGCAACAGAGAGCAGAGAAGTGGACAGAGGAGGTCAGCGCCACCAGGAGGCAGGAGCCGAGAAAGCAGCCTGTGAGTACATACATGTTTACCAGTGTCATTTTGAATACAGGTTTGAAATTATGATATTGTATTGTTATTTTTTTTTTATTTAGCTAAAGACAGGGGGCTCTATTCACGCTTACATCACAAACCAAGAAAATGTTTGGAAAGATGCGATTACAACTTCCCAGGCCCAGTTTTCTTCATCTACATGTCATTGTAGCATTCCGTTATGTTCGACAAATTAACAGTTACAACCATACCTCAGTTTTCATCATTTCCGCACTGACACACAACTCCGAGCAAACTGGGTACATGCGATTAGAGGAGATGAGGCGCCAAATTCAAGATGATTCCAAACAGCACATATGTATGCAGTCTTCATTTTACCGCTGATCATATTTACTTCAATGGGTTTTATCACAGTCCAGTGTCGGGAACTACACCGGAAGTTGTAATCGCATTTTTCCAAATGTCTTCCTGGTTTGTGACGTACGAGTGAATAGAGACTACTACACACAGTATTTACTCCAAATATAAAAAGAGGTTCTTTCTGCCAACAAAGCAAAATATGAGACATGACATTTAAATTATTGTTGTATTGTAAATATTATATTTTGTTGTGCAAAGTTTACTTAAAGGTCCTGTATTACACAATATTGACTCTTGACTGTTAAGCCATGTTAGAAAAAACATACCTGCAGTTTTCTTCACACATGTTTGAGTAATCCTGGTTTATTAGCATATATACAACTCCAAAGATCAAAATGCTCTATTACACCTTATGGTATCATGCAGTGGTAGTTTTTAACTTAACAGCTCTATTTACCAGACTTGCAAGTCATGGCTTGGACTCAAGCCAGACTTGAGTCACTATTTTTAGGACTTGAGACTTGACTTGATAAAACGGACTAAGACTTGGGACTTGAATTGGACTTGAGGCCTGTGACTTTGGAAGACTTGAGAAACACTTTTAAATCTGAATTCTTTCTATTCTGACTGTAATGATTCACACTAAGATCTTGTAAAGACATTTAAAAATGCAACTCTTATATACTCTCTAAATACTCACATATAAATAAACTATGATTCATTTAAGTACAATTTATCTTAAAAATCATATAAACTGCAAAAATCTAAACTGGATTTGGTACTTTGGTTTAAAGACTTGAAATGACTTGAAGGTCAAAGCAGACGACTTGGACTTGACTTGGACTTATGGGCCAGTGACTCGAGACTCAACTTGGACTTGCTTGTCTGTGACTTGGGACTTGACTTGGACTTATGGGCCAGTGACTCGAGACTCAACTTGGACTTGCTTGTCTGTGACTTGGGACTTGATTCAGACTTAAGGTCAAAGATTTGAGACTTACTTGAAACTTGTAAAACAATGGTCCCATATCTCTGCTGTTTACCCTTAGTTCAGTAGAGATTGACAGATCCAAGGCTGAAATCGTCCAAATGCTTCCAGTGTATTAAGTTTAAAAACACACTGGAGCACCTCCTGTATTACAACATGACATCACAGAGTGTTTTCTGTTAGCAGAGTAGATCGAGGTCCTTAGGAACAGGTCCTTTATGTTATCTAAATTTTACAGTATCCACAGAGAATTTTGCTTTAGATGTTAAGGAAAAAACGTTCAATAATGTAAGAAGAACTTGTTGTCCTCCCACGTTAACATAACCTTCCTATTTTCACCCACTGAGCCAAGGATAAAAACTACAACGTCTCATTTGTGTTCCTCTGTTGCCCTCTGGTGGACATAGCTTGATTGACAGGGCATTATTGGGAACAGTCAAGTCTCACAGAAATCCTTATGGAGGAGATTAGACCTGTAGCCCAGATAGTCAGATCATAAATTATTCTCTTTAGACATGATGCAATTAGGATTCTAGTAAACAACATGCATCCCTTCAGAGATAAGCTTGTTCAGTGAAAGACCGCGCACTGTTAGAGCTACATCTGCCTGCATTCACAATCACAGGATTAACACTCAGTATTTGATTTGAAGTCTGTTGTTTTGAATGTCGCAAACATAAAAAAATATTTATTACTGTTATTACCGTTTACACCACAACATGGAAAATCCCCAAGACACTAAAATGTATTGGTGGTTTCCCAGATGGGGAATTTTATCTTATTTCCATATCAAAAACACACCTAGATCATTTCACCTCTGCAATTTCCACTCTCTACAGAACTAAAGGTAAAAGATAACTGTGTTGAAAACTACCACTTCATGACATCGCAAGGCAGAACAGCGCATTATCAGCTTTGGAGATAAAGAGATCAAGAGTTACTCAAACATGTGTGAATGAAACAAAACACATCTCTGGGTGTGTTTTTGATGAAGTAACAACATTATAACTTGTCCTAAAGTTCACAAAAGTCAATTTAGCTTAAAATATGATCTTTAATTACATTGCACTTTCAAATTCATAAATGTTGAACCTGATCATTTCTATTTATTTCCACTAGACTCAGAATCAGAATTTATGTGTCATTTCAGTATAAAATTACACAACAAAACAAAACACTGCACTCAGGTCCAGGTCAACAGCAACATAAATAATAAGGAATAAATAGTTTAAAATATTGTATGACTTTAAAAACATCTTCCACCTGCCCCCATTTTCTAAAGCACATTCCTAGTCAGGGCTGTCTTGTAAGGTGCATTAGTGTCCGGGCTTTCTGACAGAACTGATCTACCTATGGGGTTAGTCCGTATGAAATCAGCCATTTTCAAGGAATCCCCCCTGTGAGCCATGTCATACTTGGCTGAAAAATTTTCAATAAAAAATTCTAAAATTACCAAACGAATGAATCTCAAATTTCAGCTCAATCCCTTGAGTCATTCCTGAGTTGGGCCCGTTGAAATAAATTTTATCAACATCTAACTGTGCCCATATGGGGAACCGAGGCTCCAAAGAAGGGGCCAAAAAGATCACATTTGGTCTGTGTCCATATTTGGGACTCGACACCATCCAGATGAAAGCTCAGAAAAGTGTGAGATTGCTGTCAGAAATGGTTGTTCTCTCAAATATTCAGGTTAAGCAGTTAGTTTGTAAATATCTGCTTGGAGTAAATAGATCTTGGACCTCAAAAACTGAAAAAAAAAATAATAAATAAGCAGCAACCAAATTTGAGATTTTGGGGGCTCACAACGCCCCCCTTAATAGTGATACCCAATATTTGACAACAGATTCAGACTCTATGACCAAGAATTTACTATACAATACACATTTTCAGTTTCCTCAAAGGTCTCTCAAACATGCTTATAAATTAAGGCTTCCGAAAAAGTGAATATGGCCCCAAAATTTCAACGGGCCATAACTCAAGAACGACTCAAGGGATTGAGCTAAAATTTGAGATTCTTTGAGATTCATTTGGTAATTTTAGAAATTTTTTGAATTTTTTTTCAGCCAAATCTGAGATGGCTCATAGGGGAGGGTGACTGATTTCATATGGACTGACCCTATGGCATCAGGGTAAAAGCTGTTCCGAAGTTTGGTGGTCCTGGCCTCTAGCTCGCGCAGTCTTTTCAATAACTCACTCTATTACAACAAAAATCTGCCTTTTAACAATATTGATTTAAACTGCTCCCATCTGTGTTAAATATTATTGGCCTATAGAATGGTGTGATGGCAAATGAAAACCAGCATTATGTTCACAATACAACACAATATACAAGTTAATATATAACAGTGTTCTTTACTGGACAGGACAAATGTAAATGTTAAATGATGGTAAAGAGTGGGGAGCGACATCCAGCGAATCTTCTTCCCCTTAAAATTGAAATTCCAAGATCATGTGAGCACTGGGAAATAGCCACATCCTCCCTAGAAAAAAGGAAAACCCATAAGGAACCTTTTGTCAATAGTTTTAGTGAACTAGAACAGAAGAGACCATACGTTTTATTCAAAGCGCCTCTATTTTCTGGTCTTTTCAAATGAAAGGTAACTTCAGGCAAAATGATTAAACTTCCCTTCCAAAATGCTTTTCTCCCCTGCTCCTGAACACACCGCTTTACACCCCTCTATTTACTGTGTATCCCATTATTCAGCTGTGTTTTTGTCAAGTTTGGAATTGCAAAGTGTTACCCCAGTTCTGTGACGCTGCCCATGCATGAAATTGTTGCCTCTTTGACAAATACTTCGACCTGACTCTATTATGTAAATAAGAGTAACTATTGTATCTGCAGCCTGTGTCAGTGTTTTGTTGTGATTTGTTGGTCAACCAGGCGGAGATTCTGAGAGGCAGAGAGGAGCTGGGGAGTATCCCATCGAGAGGTGAGTTATTTCTTTAGTACTTTTACCCAGTATTTATCTGGCTATTTACTTTGTGGTCTTGCCCGTATTAGTCATTCCATCATATTTCATTTTGTTGATGGGTTTTTTCTAAGCTAATTTAGGCCACACCAGCTGTCTTATCTTTTTGCTGTTATCGTAGCCTCCCTTACTCCCTGGCTCTGTATCTCCCTCTTCCCTTTCGCAAATGGTGCAGTTTTTCATCTCAGAAAATATAATTACGTGCCTAAGTTATCATGCATAAAATAGATAGTAGGTAATTTTGCCAAAAGCTCAGTAATAAATGGAATTTGGTGTTTTTAAAAGTAGAATGGCGTAACTAATGACACTGAATGATGTTTATACACTGCAAAAACAGAACGTCTGCTTGAGTCTAAATGACGTGAACTCAGTAAATTTAATATCATCTGGGCTTAAAGGTTTAAAGTACCTCCTCCTTTCACTTTTTGAAAACCAGGTTCCCCAGTTTTAAAGGTGCACTATGTGGCTTTTCGATGCTTGTCTCTATGAAAATACCTCTACAGTACTGCAGTATTCAATGACAGGTTTATATCTGTTGCTAAAAATAGCTGGGAAAACACGCATTCTTACTGTGACTGACTTCATGTGCTTGCTTCCAAGACTTACATAAGAAAGGCTATACCATGGAGAATTGTTTCCCAAAGACTGGGTCGCAAGACATTTTTTTGGGGGAGGTCACCTTGTCACGATCTGTATTTAGGTCTGTAATATACAGTTCTGACACATGACACATCTGAGCTTACAAAAATGAAGACAAAGCACAGAAACAGACTGAATCCTGCTCCTGATATGTGTGTTCCGCTCTCCTTCTGCACCCCGGACTGAAACAAGCTTCTAAAACGCAGGCCCACCTATCTCATTAGAAATGTTGAAATGTTAACCCTCTCAGGCTCAAATTAATTTTTAGTATTGGGAAAAATCTGATATTTGGGGAAAATGATCATATGGGGTAGTAATATACAATCCTGCCTTTTTTTTTTTGAGAGAGACCTTCACATCCAATGCATTCTGGGATGTTTCAGATTTGCAGCATTGGTCCGGTAAATTAACACTGAAGACTGAAAATGATATGAACGCTAATTGTATTTATATACCACTTTTCATAACAATTAAAACAAAAAGCAGAGTGTAACAGCTTTACAGTGGCAGAACAATATCACTTTTTTGTGTGGTACTACAAGAAACAATTTTTATCCTTTGTAAACAACAGAAGTACTTTGCACTTCTGACAGGCCGTTTGCCTGGAGCCATTCTTGCACAGTCTGCATCATCCACGTTTATCAGCATGGATGGGAAAAAAGGCTCCTGAGTAAAAAAAGCTAATAAAATATGGATGTGGAGTAAGTAGGTAATTTACATTTAGCTATTGCAAATCTGCAACGCCTGCCTGGAGAGGGTTAAGACATGTTTTGTATAATTTCTAATCTTTTTGTAATTATTTTATTTACTATTTTGTTCCATTATTGCTGGTTCAATTGAACGCTGAAAAGAAAAAGAAATGGGCTACATTTAATGTCCAAATAGGCGACTCATTAATGTTCAATAATGATCAAATCCACCTTTATTTTATGATTTACGAATAATGTCTATTGACTTGGGACGCGAAGGTTTGTGACTTTTAAAATATGGGTCCCCAGAAAAAACCTTTGGGAAACACTGCGGTGGAGCATTCTAGACACACACAGCAAAAACATTTCCATGGAGACAAGCAGGTGGTGGACTCTCAACCAGAAAAGTTGCATAGTACATCTTTAATATAGTCAATTTTGTGTTTAATTATATTTTGACTAGACCCAATATCTCACTGTATTACATCAAAATAGATTTTCACAGTACACTATACAAGTCGTAAATGGTGATGAAGAGTGGGGAGTGACATCCAGCCAATCTTCTTCCCCTCTACATTGAAAATCCAAGATCATGTGACCACTGAGGAATGGCAATAGAAAATAAAAATAAAATAGAAATGCCAAGTGTTTCAGGTCACAAAATCACAAAAAAATCCTTTGTACCTTGTTTTAATACAATTGATTAGACAATACATTTCCGAAGTTTTCCTATTTTTTGGATTTCTCATATCAAATTCAGAAACTGTTACAGACCCAGAAGTGACTTTAAGCACCTTTAATATAGTTAGTTAAAAAACCTTGAAGAGTTTAAAGATCTGGACCTACTAAATAAATAAAAGCAGACAATTCAAAGCAACTCTATTCTGGTTCAAGCCATTGTCACTGATCTAGAAGTTCATTTTTTCAGTACATTTGGAACATATTTTTTGTTTTACAGCACCATCTCCAGAGAACCGGCCCCGTTTGGGCTCCGTCACAGATTCACAGGGAGGAGGAGGGGGGAGGGCCATGAGGGCATTAGCTTCCCACAAGCCCAGCAGCGCCAACCCCACCCTCCTGCCCTTTAACAGAGGAGAGCTCATCAGTGTCCTGGTGCCACAGTCCAAGAACGGCTGGCTGTTCGGGCGAGCTGAGTCCTCCGCACGGTCAGTCTGCTTACATAAGGGCTCTCTGTATTTGCTATGAGTATGAGGTACATATATTTGTAATGTGTGGGCAAAATGCTGTACAATATGCATTCATTCTCTATATTTCCACCATTTATTTTCAATTAAACGTCCTATATTGCAGTGGTCCCCAAAATGTTTTGCTTCTCTGACAATATTTCATGGAACTGGGGGAGGCACTCTTTTCGGGACAATATTTTCACGGTTTAGTCCTGGTTAAATCCTGCTTTAGTCCTGTTTTAGTCCTGGTTTTAGACCTGGTTTAGAGAGGCGCAGAAAACATGAGAAGAGGCGCAGTCCATGCAGTGTACGCGAGGATACGTGGTCCATGCGACGCACGGGAGGAGGCATTGTTTGAGCGGCATATAGGAGGGAGAGTTTGCGGACCGGTACCAAATGATCGGGCCATGGCTCGGGAGTTGGGGACCTCTGCTATATTGCACAAACTTGACTCTTGTGAGTTTTAAGCCATGTTAGAATGTTGTTACGTCATCAGAAACATACCCAGAGTTGTGTTTTGTTTCATTCACACATGCTTTTTTTATTAGTCTGTCCACATCTCCAAAGCTCAGAATGTCATGTTCCACCTTGTGATGTCATGTAGTGGTAGTTTTTAAGTTAACAGCTACCTTTTTTGCCTTTTGGTCAGTCCAGATTTCCAATTGCGAGACTGAAATTACCCATTATATTCTAGTGAAGGTGTATGGAGTTTAAAAACACAGTGGAGCTATTCCTGTATTACCACATAACATCACAAGGTGGAATGGAGTGTTTTCTGTTTGAGAGAAAAGTACAGCATGCAGGATTTGTGTGTTTTAGTGTGAACGAAACAAAACAAAACTCAACAACAACATTATAACATAGATCAAAAAACTGCGTAATATTGGCCCTTTAATATTTTAAAATGTTTTTCTATGTTTCCATCACCAGTACATGAAAAAGCGTATAACAGTTGTTTCTTTATTCTCAGTACGGGGTGGTTTCCTGCTTCTTATGTGGAATCTCTGGACGATCCTCCAAAATCAGCCATGTCAAGGTAAACACAAAAGCAATACAGACACATATTTACTAGTTGTATATTTGTATAGTAAGTATTAGACAATGGAAGAGAGTCTAAAAAGTCTAAAAATACAAAAGAAGGGCATGTTCTTAATATCATAAGCTGCTTGCATTTGGGTGACCCATTGCCGTGGGCGACACCAGCTAACAGTGCCAAACTAGACTATTTCAGTGACATGACTCATAATGCACTTCTTAATCGTGTGTGTGTGTGTGTGTGTGTGTTGTTGTTGTTACCGTTTTGTGCAGTAATTCGTCTTTGCGAAGCTCCAGCAGTATGTCCAGCCTGTACAGCCAATCGGGAAGCAGCACCCACAGCCAAGCCCCGCCCCCTCCAGGCCCTCCGCCACCGCCGTCTCCAGGCCCTCCGCCACCGCCGTCTCTAGCGTCCTTACCGCATACGTCCAATAAGCATGCGCCACCAGCTAACAAGAGCCAGCCAAGGTCCCCTTCAGAAAGCAAGGTATTCTTACACTCACAAGGTTTAACATGAGTTTTTTTTTACTGTTTGCATAACTGAGTGAAATGATTGGAATATAAATCTAAAACTTCATATAATTTGAATTCATCATCATTTTCAGAAGGGCTCTTGTGGCAAAGTTTTGTTCTCAATGACGCCGCAGCCTTCTTTTTGGTGGATGCACGGTGGGAGCTCCAGCTGCTGATGAGTCTGTAGGCAAGAACCTGTGTGCTTCTGTGTAGAGTGCTGTGAACTGTAGATGTGCATGGAGTAGATAATAACATTTGAAGTGTTTAAAAGCTGTAGTTATTCAAAGTTGTTAGAATTTCAAATGAATGGATAGAATTTGGAGGTTTTGAGGTTGTGAAAAGGGAAAGAGACATGAATCCTATGAGACTAGAAAAACTTCATCTAGGGACTCATTATAACATTGAACATTTATAAATAATAAATCAGTGCAGCGACGGTGGTGATGCGGTCGCAGTATTGGACCGTTGTGATGAAGAGAGAATCTACGTTCAAACTCTCACCTATTGTCATGAGCTTTGGGTAATGACCGAAAGGATGAGATTGCGGATGCAAGCAGTCGAAATGAGTTTCCTCCACAGGGTGGGAGGGTCCCTTAGAGATAGGGTGAGGAGCTCAGTCACATAGCAGGAGCTTGGAGTAGAGCCGCTGCTCCTCCACGTTGAGAGGAGCCAGTTGAGGTGGCTCAGACATCTGTTCCGGATGCCTCCTGGACGCCTCCCTCGGGAGGTGTTCCGGGCATGTCCCACCAGGAGGAGGCCCAGGGAAAGACCCAGGAGAGGCTGGAGGGACTATGTCTCTTGGCTGGCCTGGGAACACCTTGGGGTCCCCCGGAGGAGCTGGAGGACGTGTGCAGGGTGAAGGAAGTCATCCCACTGCCTCCGCAATCCAGCCCCGAATAAGCAGAAGAAACTGGATGGATGGACTTTAAAGATTTAGTTGTTTTTCTACAAATGTGGCACACGATCATTGTAATTGGCCAAGGTTTTTTTTGTTTGTTTTTGTTTTTTAATGTTTAAATGTTTTGTTTTTCAAATGCTCTGTGTGATTTTGAGGTGAGAATTTGCCCTATACTATAAAAATACAAAAAAACTTCAACCGTTTGTGTCAGCATTACGTGCACTTTAAAAAGACTTGATACTGATATTTTGCAGCTAATGTCATGAACATTCTCTGGGGGGTTAAAGCTAACTGGTGGCACTGAGCACTCGAATTAATCACAAGAGCCTGTGATTAACTGAAAATGTGCTGTTAAAACTTTCATATTTTTTCCTTGCGTTTTCAGAATATAAATTTGTCAGCCTGTGTTTATAATGTGTGCATTGTGTCTTGAGGGTAAACGCTGTACATGTAGCGTGACCAAATATTCAAAATTAAAAACTGGGACACGCCCGGGTTGGGATGGTCGCTAAAACTGTGAAAAGAGAGGTTATGTTGTCCTCACTTGACTCACGTGTCAGTATTTAATCTGAGGGACTTCTGTTGTTGCATTTTTATTTATCTTCTCATTTTATTGCCTTATGCTCATTTCCAAACATGTTTTTCTGTATTTTAGCTAAAAGAAAAAGACAACATATTGGCATCTTTACTGTTGATGGGTCAAAAATAGGGACAACTGGGACATTTCTTGTATTAAACTGTGACAAATCAGTGGTTTTGGAGACACAGCGCTCAACACTTGGACTGTCCCGGGTAAATAGGGAAGTCTGGTCACCCTTTGTACATACCTCCATAGACATACATGCAATACCCCCCCAGTGTGATGTCAGTGCAAAGTATCAGTAGCAGCAGAGTGAAGGGGTCAAAGTGTACCGTCTTATTACCCTCCATTACTATACACATCTACATTTTCTAATTTACTTCTATATTTCCGCAGGGACCCGAAGCGCCGCCGTCACGTCCTGAACTCTTCCCCAGGTGAGAATGGTGAAATATGACCGAACATTTCCCAAAGGTCTTCCCTCTAATGCTGCATTCACAGTCTTTCCCCGAGATGAGGGCCATGATCTAAACTACACCATTAGCCTCGAGAGCAGTTTAGCACCGAAACCATTTTAGCGTTAGCCATTTCTGAACAATAGCTTATATCTACTCCCACTCGAGGTGAACGCCATCAGCCGGAACAGATTGAAACGCTTTACTTAGTCCTTATGTTGTTATAACCTGTGCCTCGAACGTTGTATCGTTGGAGGCTGCCTTTTATTGCCAAAACACTGAGTTTGCCGTTTTGTTTGCGTTAAAGGGGAACCAACCCGTTTGCAACAGTGAAGCTGAAGCCCACAAAGACCAACGATCGATCGGCGCCGAAGCTAAGACGCTAACCTGCTAACGTGCTAACCGGCACACATCCACAGAGCTTCTGGAAAGTAGTAGGAAGTGCCTCGATGTTGGGTAAACGTAATTCCCGGTTAACGCTTTTCTATGGCAAAATATCTGCGGGAAAGTCTCTCGTATTTTCCACCGGGTTTATAAATCTGCCCCATCACCAAATCTTCACCCAACAAGGTCAACAAAGGAAATATTCTGTCCATGAAGAATTTATCCACAACTATCAAGCAGGGTATCTCCAGGTTTGACTACACCAAATGTAAGACTTTTTAAGACCTTTGTAAGACCACTTAAAAGAAAATTAAGCGGCCGAAAAACACCTGATCTAATTCTAATAATGACCAACCAACTACTATATCTAAAACAGGGGTGCCCACAACTTTTCAACAAGTGCGCTACTTATCGGTGAGTTTCAGCTGATGTCATTGTTATTAAAAACCCGCCTTGCATGCTGGGAAATATTTTGGTCGGAGGCAAGAAACAGGATAGCGGTCAAACACAGTGCGTAACCTCGCGTATTTATCCCCGATAATGATAAATTCCTGCTGCATTATCAGATGCACAAATAGAAGCACGGAAGAAGGAAAATGTCTTTTTCGTATTCTGAGTGAAAAGAACCGCCAACGGTAAATTAAATGGCTTTAAAACATTCGCAGAACAAACGTAGAAGATCCTAGGAAACCGTGGACTCCAACAAGTTCAACAACACATCGAGACTCTTGGAGGTTTTCATCTTTTCTGCTGTGAATGGCCCAGGAGTTTCCACCAAGTCATTGTGGATATCGCCCAAGTGAATATTTGTCCAGGTAGTTGGCGATTCTGACCAGAATTTTGGTTTGGTCCAGGCTCTGTAGGGGTTGAAAAGGGTGATTTGTCGTCCATCGATGCTTATGACCAATTTCTGGTCAAATCGTCTTGGGTCCTCTGCTGTTAGAGTGGATAAATGAACCTGGATCAATACCCTTTACGTGCTTTCTCGCTCCGTCCGTCATGTTGAATTAGTGTTTCTTGCCACCGACCAAAATAATTCCCAGCATGCAACACGCGCTTTTGTCAACAATGAAACTTCGCCTATAAAATGAGTCAAAAGTCAAAATGATGGACCTACTACAAAGCCCAGCAAACTGTCCTGCACTTGAACACTCTGCGCCTCTTTTTTGAACCCTCCCCCACAGTTTGAGAACACCTAAAAAGAACCCCATCTTAAAAAGTACTTCCACTGGCACTTTACAGAAAACTGTGAAAAAGTGAAGAAAGTGAGTAGGAGTTTTAAACCTGTTTGTCCTAACTGGAGTTACATTCTCTTACTGGTTTTGCAGTGGGATTTAGCCTCTGCACATTTACCAAACCAAACTCACATCGTGACAAATACAGATGCATTTGTGCACTTTTATTAGGCAAACTTCAGCTTCGTGTTATTGTTGTTGTTTTGGGATTTTTTCCGTTTAACATCACACTGCAGCCTGGTTAAGTTTACAAAAAATAGGCTAATGAAATTTAAGACCTTTGTGAAAAAATTAAGACTTGGACAACATAATTTAAGACTTTTTAAGGACTTTTAAGACCCCACGGCTGCCCTGATCAAGGTAAGAAAGACGAAAACGTAAAGGTGAACAACGATTAGCATTATTGAACTACTGAACAAAACTAACATTATGGTCATGAATAAAACATAAGTAACTTGTTCACTCAGACCGATTCTAAACAATTAAAATAAAAAAATCGATTGCATGAATTACATATTGGTGCAGACAGAGAGATTTGTGCAGTTTAAATGTTAGACATCTAAACTGTGAACATCTGTAGCATTTGAACTGCACAAATCTATCTATACTAATATCTGCATTATGAAATTGATTTTTAGTTTTAATTGTAAAATCAGTCTGAGTGAACAAGTTACTTATGTTTTATTCATGATCATAATGTTAGTTTTGCTCTTGAGTAGTTCATTAATGCGTCGTCGTTGTTCACCTTTACGTTTTTTGTCTTTCTTATCTTGATAGTTGTGGATAAATTCTTCATGGACAGAATATCTCCTTTGTCGACCTTGTTGGATGAAGATTTAGTGATGGGGCAGATTTATGAAGCTGATTTATGAAGCTAGTTGAAAATATGCGAGACATTTCCACAGATATTTTGCCATAGAAGATCATTAACGTAAGTGATGTTACCCTACATCATGGCACTTCCAGCCGTTGTGAAAAAAGTCTATAGCAATGGTAGAGTGGTAATGGAGTAAAAATAATAAAGTAGCACTTTTTTAATAAAGTAGCACTTTACATACATGTAAAAACAGCGGGGTCAGCCCTATGTTCCCTCAGCCCTATGTTCCTGAATTTATAAGGCTTTTCTCAAAACTAAACTCTAATTCAAGTCATTTTTATTTTTATATCACATTTAAAGGGATGAGTCATTTCATCCTAGGGTCCTTTGCACCATGACCTCTGCATTACATCTGTAGTGCTGCTGGATAGTAAGTTGGGTGTAACTGACGACCAAATTGGGAAATGGAGATAAATTTTGATGCAAATTGATGGTGAAGGAAATGAGGGAACATGGGGTCTAATTTTGGGGGGGGAAAAAAACAAAAAAACATAGAAATGAGTGAATATAGGGCTGAGGGAACATAGCCACGCTCCCCTGTACTTTCTGCTCTTTCCTCTACATTTTTGAATTGGTCTGAAAAGTAAAAGTACTTGCTGAAAAGGCTGAAGGTTTCTTTATTGGAATATGAATCTAAAATGTCATATCACAGCTAGGAAAAAACATTGATTTAGTTTCTGTTGAACACTATTCAGGACAAATCGTTATAAAAATCTGTACATTTGAAGCCTTCTTAGACCTCAAAAGCTGCGCAAAATACTTTTACTTTTACTTATTTTTTCATGTGATACTTTTACTTGAGTATTCTTTTGCTCTGGTATCTATACTTCTTGATTACTTCTTCCAGCACTGAGTAATAGGTTAGCCTTACTGCAAATACTGAAATTTCTTATTGAACTTCTACTAAATACTTGCAAATGGGATGTAATGGAAAAGTTCTGTGAAGGTGAATGATATTGGAGAGCTTCAGACTTCCCTTACTGGTAATTTATGTATCTCTGTTATGAGATTGCTATAGGCAATGGAGTGTTTCGCAAAAGAAGCTAAAATCACCTTAGCATATCCTTCAAAAACCTATTACTGGATCAATTTGACACTAGACGAGTTTTATGTTTTGGTCAATAAATGTCACAGAATAGAAACTTTATGTGTTAAAATAGCTCATTTGCATTGAAACGTTTAGGTTAGTTTAGTTAGATCGCCAAAAATAGTAAAACTTCTACTGAAAACCAAGACTCGTGTACACATTAAAACTGTATTATTTGAATTTAATGGAGAATGAATCCAGATTAATCACATAACGCCATGGTGCGCAGTCCCATTCATTTTGTTTGAAAACTAAATTGGCTTTTAAACATTTTCCATTAAAACCATCTGTCAAGCATACTTCTTTACAACAGCACAGGGAAAATGAAGAACCAGCTGTGCATTTGTCTTTGTGTTTTATAAGAAGCGACGGTACTTTCTTCCAATGTGCAATAATGGTTCTGAAAGCTGCACTGTGTAACTTGTCCTGCTTGTCTCCATGGAGATGTTATTGCTTACTCTGGAATGTTCCGTGGTATGACATTAAACATTTCCATCTAGCATTTATTCATTATGGGTGTTTCTATTGCCCCGTGATATATTGGTTTAATCTTCACTGTGGAACTTTCTAGACAAAGCAATAATATTTCCATGGAGACAAGACATTCTACGTGCCTTCAAAGTGTATTGTACCCTCAGGTAAGAATACATGTTGTTTTCTATTTGTAAATACTATTTTGTTAATATATTTTACTTATAGATTTTGATTAAAAAAAGATTACAAATGCACAATGTATTATAACAATACAGTTTTGTTAAATGTTCTGTCCCAGATTTTGGACTATTTTTGGATTAAAGTCCCTTATTACTCTATTTTCTGATCTATGCTGTAATGTTTCCTCATCAAAAACATACTTGCAGTTGTGTTTTGTTTCATTCACACATGTTTGAATAACTTTATTTTTATCTGTCCACATCTCCAGAGCTCAAAACGCTCTGTTCCACCTTATGATGTCATGTGGTAATACAGGAAGCGCTACAGTTTGTAAACTCCATACACATACACTATTTCAGACCTGGAATCTCTAATAAACAAAAGGTAAAAAGTAGCTGTTAACCTGAACACCACTGCTTTGTGACATCACAAGGTGGAACAGAGTGTTCTGAGCTCTGGGGATGTAGACAGATAAAAATAAAGGTGTGTGAATAGAGATGATATCCAAAATCTCTCGCTATGATATTATCAAGATATGCATCTCATGGTACGATATTTACTGTGATATTTTATAGAGACTGATATACTTCTAGACAGGACACTTTTTTACTTTTACAATACCATGGCAAGATTTTGGTGTGAATTATTGTCATCATAATCCCAAGAATTCAAGTAAAAAACATATTTCTTCATGTTGTCTGCGCTGACATGAATCATGGGATATGTAGTTCCTGATGTTTATAAAATGTTGCTACTATAAACCATGTATTTAAGCAAAGGAACTTGTGATTCGACGTACTGTGACGACCCACAGTATTATTACCTGGTCCCCAAAGCGTTGACCAGGTTTTGTATTCACCCTGTGTGTCTGTGTGTCTGTCCACGCGATAATTCTCTTCCATTTATGGACCGATTGTCACCAAATTTGGTACGTGGGTCAAGCCCCCGTGCCCGATGCCACAGAAAAAAGTCTGGTGACGATCCGAGGTCATTTGAGGTCACACAGGTCAATTGAAAGGTCACGCCATTATAAAGGATAGGCAATTTTGGCAATTTCTGAACCATCTGCGGGCTAAAATATTCACCCAATCATCACACAAGTTGGCACACACATAATCGGGGTATGGGCTGGGCTCCTCATAAGCTGACTTCCGTGGTGATTAACTGCCCCCACCAATGCCTTATGGGGGGCCAGGTTGCTATCTCTGATTGAGCTTGTTGTGAGACTTTTGATGATACGATGTCACGATATTTCGGTTATTGTTACATCCCTATGTGTGAATGAAACAAAACACAACTCCTGGTTTGTTTTTGATGAGGTAACAATATGACTTAAAGATCAAGAGTAAATTTTGCGTAATGTAGGACCTTTAAAAAGCAACCGCCTATATTAATCATCCTTGTAGTAGATTTTTTACACATTTCACTAATCAGATATGTACATGAGTGATTTTATACTTGTATTTACTTTGTGATAATACATTTTGATAATAAATCCTCTCCTTACATGACTCCTCTAAGCTTTGTCAAACATATCATACTCCTGAGTGTGTGTGACTGAAGGGTGATGGAGCTTAAATATCCGTGTGCTCTCAGGCGTGAAAATGGCCTAGTAAAGACCAGGAGAAGCCAGTCCCGTGTTGCCAGTTCCTCTCCTCATCCTCCATCGGGGATACTTAACCCAAATTGAACCCCAGTGTGAATCCAATTGTGCTAATGGCTCCACAGCACGATATATTCTGAAACTGGCACGCGCTGAGTAAAGTCAAGAGAATTACACACAAACATGTTTAAGAAATGTAAATAAAAACTGAATAAAAAGGTAAGCAGGTTGTTACTGTAGAGATTGTTTTATCCATTCAAATTGTTAATATTTTTAGCACAAACATGACAAAAACTACATAAAATAGAAGTCTCTGTAACCAAAAATTATTATAGGTGCTGTAGCTGTCTTAAAAATGTGGAAAAAACAAAAACAGAACTAGTTCATTTTAACAGTTTGTGACAATCCAAAATAAGGATGCACCAAAACGATGCTGGTATTGGAAATCTGTGCCGATATTCACAGTTTTTGATGATTTAAAAGTCTTTAAAAAATCTTAAATTTCATGTTCCTAAAATAAGGCCTTCGAAAGTCTTAAATTCTGTTGTCCAAGTCTTATTTTTTTCACAAAGGTCTTAAATTTCATTGGCCTATTTTTTGTAAACTCAACCAGGCTGCAGAGCAATGTTAAATGAAGGACGGGAAAAAAAAACAACAAATAAACAAACAAATAATTTTGGTATATATATATTTTTACCATACACTGTTTATATTTAAAGGAAGTGCATTATATTCATTCTCTGCCCCAGTCCACCCACTCCTTTTTCAGACCCAAGTAAAATCTGTGTGACATTTATTTTTGTTTATTATAGAAAAGAAATATTTACTTTTTGTATTATATCTATGCATTATTGTCCTAATAGTCCTAATAAACTTTCATTCATTCACAGTATCGGTTCATATCGGGGATCAGCAGCTACTTAAAGCCAAAGTATTGAAATCGGTATTGGAACAGAAAAGGCAGGGGTGCATCCCTAGTCCAAAGTTATTCCTCAGTTACCTTTTGCATTCCGAGCATCCTAATTATTCACAGCGATTACTTTATAAGCTCTTTTCATGACTTTCAGAGAGTAACTAGTATGCTAACAGTGCATTTCTTGATACTCAGACAACACAACGCTACTCAGACAGACATATTTTGACCTCAAGAGCTGCTTATATATTATATATTATGTTTTTGATCAAACACATGGGGAAAAAAATGGGTCTAGGCCCTTTAAGTAATCCGGCATTCTGTGGTTGCTTCTCGAGAGCTGAAAACGGAGCGTCCCACTCGTCTACATCACAGCCCCTGCCCCCTCCCTCCTCCCCCAAAAAGAAGTGACAGATGAGCCTTGTTGACGATTTGTTGTTTTCAATTTATTATATTTGTTCACAGCTTGACCTCTTTCTTCTTTTGGTATGTTTTTTTACAATAGCCCATTACCAGAGCGGAGAGGGAGAGATGGATGGAGTCATGGATGAAGGGAGAGAAGAGAGGGAGAGAGAGAGAGAGAGAGAGAGAGAGTGAAACTAAAGAAAGTGAAGAGGGTAAGAAGAAACAGGTGGACACAGCGCTGGGGACTTTCTTTGATTTGCCTTTAGCGTTGAACAGAACAGGCTGTACAAAAGGGATCAAATAAATGGTGGTAAGGGACTAGTTTCTATAGTGCACTACTAGCAATAGGAAAGAGCCAGGTGCATTGTGGGAGTAAGGGAGCTGGGGAGGGCCACAGGGCGTCAGGATGTTGTTAGGAGACAGTCATCTGCGATCGGGCTATTTATTCTTTCACCAGGGCAGTGAACTCTGCAAGACACAAAAAGAGGAACAAGAGTCAGGAAATGACAGCTGCTTTTTCTGTTCATGAAAAATACTACAACATTTATGATGGTGGTACTATATATAGTTCAGAGTTCAGTTGAAGTGAATTGAAGAAGTTCTGGAGTGAGTAAGCAGCCTCGTAACAATTTTCTTTGCCATACATTTCTGGAGTTTTGTTTCATTCACACGTTTAACACAGAAATCCTGCACATTTAGGCTGAGTTCTCATACAGAGAACACTTTGTGACTTCATGTGTTTGTACGGGATGTGCTCCACTGTGTTTTTAAACTCACTCAAACACCTTCACTACAATCATTTGGATAATTTCAGCTGAGGAATTTCCCAGACCAAAAGGTAAAGGTAGGTGTTAACATGAAATCACTACACTACCAATACATGACATCACAAAATGGAAAAGAGCATTTTGAGCTTTCGAGATCTAGAGTAGACTAGTGAAACAGGATTACAGGATTACTCAAACATGTGACAATGAATAACTCCAGGTTCATGCCCTGACGGAGACCATCCCTCCATGTAATAAAGAACTTTTAATATATTCAGTCGGTGCCTCGGGTTTGTACCTTGACCATTTTTACATGCTTTAGTGGCCAAACCGGCTTGTCAAAACCTGAGCCCGTCAGATCTCAGAAGCTAAGCAAGACCGGGCCTGATTAGTACTTGGATGGGAGCCCACTGGGAAAATCAGGTGCCACAGTGGAGCGCCAGTCACAAATACTGTCATTGTGTCCATAGGCAAGACACTTCACCCACATTGCCTTGTATGAATGTGGTGTGTGTGTGTGTGTGTGTGAGTGATGGTGGTGGTCAGAGGGGCAGATGGTGCAGATTGGTAGCCGCGCTTGTGTCAGTCTGCCCCAGGGCAGCTGTGGCTACAATAGTATCTTACCACCACCAAGTGTGGAGTGAATGAACAATGAATAATAAAGCATCTTTGTGACATATGTCTGTGAAAAGTGCTATATAAATAAAAACGTACTTAATTTTTTATTTTTTTTTCCAGTAAGGGCTACATTCTGTTCAGATGTCAAGTTTCAGAGCACCTGTACTTTTACTTTTAACTTTTTGTTTATGACCCAGTGAAGCGCTCTACCTCTTCTCTTCACCTCACAACTCCAGGAATGTCCAGAGAAGTAAATTTTGCATAATATAGGACCTAATACAGGAGTTTAGGTATTTCCAACTTTAAGTTTGTGACCATAACCATGCCTCACCACAGATCCATGCACCTCACACACACCTCTTCCTCTTCCTCTTTCTTCCTAAACCAGCCTTTGTACATCATTTTGTCCACCAAAGTCATCGCTTCATAAATTCCTCCGTATTCTGAGGTTGTAGTCTTTACTGTTGAACTACGCTTGAGTCACATGAGTAGCCTGACCTATGAAATTTAAGCTGAATGTCACTACAGCTTATAAACCTTCTCTTTCCTCGCTTCCTTCTCGTTGATTCCTCTCCTCGATCCTCTATTTTTCAGCTGTCAATTAAATGTGTCATATTAAGTGGTGTCCCAAAGAAAACCACGGAAGGAAGGAGTAAAGATGAGGGAGGCTTCAGGAGGCAGACATCCGATAAAAGAATCAGACTTTATAGGTTTCAGTGAGGCGTTTATATCCTCTTTCTTTTGTGTCTCCTCTGTGGGTGGGACTTTCTCACCCATTTCTTGCCAAATCGAGGAGAGGAATCAAGAAGAAGGAAGTGAAGAAGGAGAAATGAAACGCGACCTTCATATACTGATGTCTGCGTTAACCACAATACACTGTAGCTGTACCTTCCACTCCTATCTTGCCGTCCCCGTCCTTGTCAGCTGCTCTTAAAAATGCTTTGGTTTCTTTGTCTGTCAGGTCTCTACCATCTTTGGCGAAACCCTTCAAGACGAATCTAGAAGAGAAAGAACAGAAAAAAATCCAGGTTTACATATTTCATAACTTAAAGCTACACTATGTCACTTTTCTGGTCTCCAAGGAGATGTCGTTTGATATCCCAGATTCCACAGTATGACATGAAGCATATCAATCTTTTTGCAGGTGTTTTTAAAGCTCAAAAATACCTTGAAAAAAATGCGTTATTGATTTGTTACGTTCCGAGTAAAGACACAGAGACCAGGTCAAGATATCTCATAATATAAAGATACAATGTGTAGCTTCTCTGGTCTCCATGGAGATGTTGTTTGATATCCTGAAAGATTCCACAGTATGGCTATAAACTTTTCTTTCTTACATTTATACATTTACAGGTGTTTTTGTTGTTTAAAAATACATTGAAAAACACATTAACGCTGTGTTACTGTGAGCAGGGTCGCCTCTCCACAGATCTGACTAGAAACTGGGCCAAGTGGCACCACCCGCTTTTCTCAATGAAGAAGAGTGCATGATTGAAATGAAAAAATGCCATACTGTGGAGCATTCCAAGCAAAGCAGTCTAGAGGAGTAAGGACACAGAGACCAGGTTTACATATTTCATAACATAAAGGTACAATGCGTAACTTTTCTGGTCTCTATGGAGGTGTTTTTTTGCTATCAACAGTATGGCTATAAACCTATTTATCTTACACTTTTTCATTTACATTTGTTTTTAAAGCTCAAAATTCCTTGTAAAACATATTTTCTTACTGTAAGTGGGGTCACCTCTCCACAGATCTGACTAGTAACTTTTCCTCACACATGTTAGTCTACTTACTACTTACTAGTTAGTACTTTTGTGTGATTGTTGCTGTACTTTCCCTGTCCTGTAGATCAGTGGTCCCCAACCTTTTTTGCACCGTGGACCGTTTTCATGTCCGACCGGGGGCTCTTTTCGGAAGAATATTTTCATGGACCGGTGGCGTATAGGAGGACGCGCGGTGGTCCACTCAGAGGGCGCGAGAAGACGCAGGATTCGGGAACAGGCACAGTCCACGCGGCATAGGGGAGGAGATGAGGTCCACATGGTTTAATCCTGGTTAAATCCTGTTTTAGTCCTGATTTAGACCTGGTTTAGACCTGATTTAAACCTGGTTTAGTCCTGGTTTAGTCCTGGATTAGACCTGGTTTAGACTTGATTTTAGTCCTGGTTTAGTCCTGGTTTTAGTTCTGGTTTAGACCTGGTTTAGTTCTGGTTTAGACCTGGTTTAGACTTGATTTTAGTCCTGGTTTAGTCCTGGTTTTAGTTCTGGTTTAGACCTGGTTTAGACTTGATTTCAGTCCTGGTTTAGTCCTGGTTTAGTCCTGGTTTAGACCTGGTTTAGACTTGATTTCAGTCCTGGTTTAGTCCTGGTTTAGTCCTGGTTTAGTCCTGGTTTAGACCTGGTTTGACTTGATTTTAGTCCTGGTTTAGTCCTGGATTAGACCTGGTTTAGTCCTGGTTTAGACCTGGTTTAGACTTGATTTTTAGTCCTGGTTTAGTCCTGGTTTAGTCCTGGATTAGACCTGGTTTAGTCCTGGTTTAGTCCTGGTTTTAGTTCTGGTTTAGACCTGGTTTAGACTTGATTTCAGTCCTGGTTTAGTCCTGGTTTTAGTTCTGGTTTAGACCTGATTTAAACCTGGTTTAGTCCTGGTTTAGTCCTGGATTAGACCTGGTTTAGTCCTGGTTTAGACCTGGTTTAGACTTGATTTTAGTCCTGGTTTAGTCCTGGTTTTAGTTCTGGTTTAGACCTGGTTTAGACTTGATTTCAGTCCTGGTTTAGTCCTGGTTTTAGTTCTGGTTTAGACCTGGTTTAGACCTGATTTAAACCTGGTTTAGTCCTGGTTTAGTCCTGGATTAGACCTGGTTTAGTCCTGGTTTAGACCTGGTTTAGACCTGGTTTAGACTTGATTTTAGTCCTGGTTTTAGTTCTGGTTTAGACCTGGTTTAGACCTGATTTAAACCTGGTTTAGTCCTGGTTTAGACCTGGTTTAGACTTGATTTTAGTCCTGATTTAGTCCTGGTTTTAGTTCTGGTTTAGACCTGGTTTTAATTCTGGTTTAGAGACGTGGGAAACATGCCTCCTGCGCAGTCCATGTGGCATGCGCGAGACGATGTGGTCTACGTGGTGCACAGGAAGAGGCATGGTCCACGTGCCGTATGGGGGGGTTCACGTTTTTGTGGCCCGGTACCAAACGACCCACGACCCAGTACCGGTCCATGGCCCAGGGGTTGGGGACCACTGCTGTAGATGATTTCGCATAAACCTGAAGAGGGACTGAAGATGGAAATTTGCCACGTTGGCTATAATCTTTACATATTTACATTTTAAATATTCATTAATATGTGCTGTCCCTTTACAAATAAATAAATAAGAAATTAGTCTGAAGGAAGATGAACACATTTAATGCCATACTGTGGAACAATTCAGGCAAAGTATCTATAGTGCACCTTTAAATGGCCTATATTACATGATTTTCTGATCTGTTATTATGTTGTTTCCTCATCAGAAACATACTCAGAGTTGTGTTTTGTTTCATTCAAATGTTTAACACACAAATGCTGTATATTTAGGCTGAGTTCTTTTCTCAAACAGAAAACAGGATGTGCTCCACTGTGTTTTTAAACTCCATCCACCTTCAATACAATAATTTGGATAACTTCAGCCCTGGTATTCCAATCTTAACTGAACTAAAAGTAAGAGGTAACTGTTAACATGAAAACTACCACTACAGTAAATGACATCACAAGGTGGAACAGAGCATTTTGAGCTTTGGAGACGTAAACTAATAGTATAGGATTACTCAAATATGTGTGAATGAAACAAAACACAAGTCAAAGTATGTTTTTTAAGAGGTATCAGCATTCTAGCATGACTTAGAACTCAGAAACTAAGAGTCAATTTTTTTTTACATAATATAGGATTTTTAACTCATCAGTCTATGTTGTTGCTTATTTTGAAAATGACGTACTTAAGCTCCTCCTCCTCGATGAAGCCGCTGTTGTCCGCGTCCAGCACTGTGAACACCTTCTTGACGTCGTCCGCAGACTTGGACTTCAGACCGACCATCTCGAAGAACTTCTTAACGTCAAAAGACTCGGCCACTGGTCCAAAAAACAAAAAAACACAGAACACAACAAAGCGGAGACAGTGAAAAGTGGGCTTCCTCCTAAAAGTAACTCCAGTGAAAGTAGATGAGCCCTGCAGCATTGGGTTAATTGGAAGAAGACAGACTATTGTGGTGTGATTGATATGCCCTCTTTGAGAACATGTGATAGCCAGAGGAGCTGAAGAGACACTTCACAGCCTCATTCTCCGAACACTTCTTAACGTTGTGAGGAGAGCGCTCTTGAGTTATAGAAGCTGAGATTACAAACTGAGCATCCAGCCACTTCAGAGATGGGTTATGTTTTCAAAAGTCTATCATTTTCTCTGTGCATTTCTGGAAGTGCCATGACCAGGTTTAGTGGGATTTAGTTTTGAGAGCGAGTTTTGGCATCAGATCTATTTTTGTCTCATTTTATACAATGCAGTTTTTGGGGTCAGTCTATTATATGTTTATAGGACCTATATAATGCTATTTTCTGATTTATGTTATTTTGTTTGTATCACAAACAGACCTGGAGTTGTGTTTTGTTTCATTCACATGCTTAACACACATATCCTTCATATTTTATTCTTTTCTCAGACGGACTACAGGAAGGGCTCTACTCTGTTTTTAAACTCGCATACATATTCACTAGAATCATTTCATTTCAGGCCTGGAATTGCCAATCTCTACAGTTACTCAAAGGATTACTCAAACATGTCTGAATGAATCAAAACTCCAGGTATGTTTCTGATGAGCTAAGAACATTATAACTAAAATGGCTAAAAGCTCACAAGAGTCCATTTTATTTAATATAGGCCCTTTGAAGACACTGTGCCCCATTTTGTCTCATGTATTTGAGCAAAATTTGACTTGTCCAAGTACAGATATTTTATTATATTATTGTATGTTGTGGGGAAGCTAGCCAATGTGGTCAGAGTAGGAAGCACACTAAAACAAAAAAAGAGAAAAAAAAGACAAACATTTATTTTAAATCAGACTTCCATTGTAGTGTAAAGTACAAATTAAAATTAAACCAAAAGCAACAACAACCTTCACCCATCTGCACAGAAGTCTCTCCTAATGGACATCATCTGCTTGCTTCTCCCTGCGTTTAATTATCCTTCTGAATCGGTTTTCTGAGGAAGTCGGCACGCATGACACGCCCCTTTTCCTAGGATGGCGCAACTCGGACCTCAGTGGTGGAAAAAGTTTGCCACATACTTTCTGCATCTAATTTGAAAAATGTGTTATTGTCTGTTGTGTGTTAGCATGTTAGTTGTTATTGGCTTTATCATCACCTCAAAACTCTGCACTCGTCTCCCTGAGCTGTAGCTTATTGTGGTGATTAATTAAGATGCTTGGAATGCATAAGGTAAGTGAGGAATAACTTTGGACCACTGCAATCTAGTTCTGTTTTTCACATTTTAATACGTTTTTAAATGAAGCACAGCGCTGTTCTTTTTTATCAACATCATCTCATGAACACAATGTGAACACAAAAATACACTTTGTTGTGCACATTGTTCAGATCAGCTTGTGTTTAGACAGAGGAGCAAATTCGACTTTTGTGGGCACCAGAAGAGCAATGGTTCAGCACCACAGATCGATTTGTCTCCACAAGGAGCTAAACAACCTTATCTAACATCCAGTTTTACATTCACAGTGTCTTCCATGTCTCATTTAGAATTTCACATAAACAGAAAAAGTCAAAGTTTTACCTGCAAATGCGTCTAGAGCCTTCTTGATGTCGTCACAGTTGAGGATGCCGCTCATTGCCATTTTAGCTGCAGGAGACAAGAGACAAGGGGACAGAAGGGAAAGAGAGAGGGACAGACAAGGACAGAAGAGGACAGAGAGGAGGACAGATGAGGATAGAGAGTGGGATAGACAAGGACAGAAGAGGACAGAGAGGGGGAGGGAAAAGGACAGAAGAGGGCAGAAGAGGACAGAGGGAGACAGAAAAGAAGACAAAAGGGACAGTGTTAAAACCAAGGCAGGACCAGAGCACACAGTCACTTTACACTCCAAACACTTCAGAGATGAACCACACGAGGAGCTGCTGAGTGACAGAGTGAGTTACAGAGACTGTCCAGGGCAAACCAGAGAAGAACACAGATGTGCCTTGAGTAAAAACAAGCACAGTGATGGAACAATCGATTTCAAAAGTAAAACACAGGAGCAGAAGTAAGTAAAAGTAAGTGAGCTTTAAACCCTGTTATAATGTTGTTACCTAATCAAAAACAGACCTGGAGTTGTGTTGTTTCATTCACACAAGTTTAAGTAATCTTTTATTATTAGTCTGTCCTTATCACCAAAGCACAAAATGCTCTGCTCCACTTTGTGATGTCATGCAGTGGTAGTTTTACAGTGAACACCAACCTTTTACCTTTAATTCAATATAGACGGGCAGTTCCAGGGCTGAAATTATCCACATGATTCTAGTGGAATTTAAAAAAACACAATGGAGCACTTCCTGTATTACCACATGACATCACAAGGTGGAACAGAGTGTTTTCTGTTTGAGAGAAGAACTTAGCCTTAGTATGGAGGATCTGTGTGTTTAACATGTGTGAAAGAAACACTAAACACTAACTAAACTAATATTTAACTAATATTTTTGATGATGAGACAACAGAAAACGGTGTATTATAGGCCATTCAAATGAAGTGAAAAAATACCCAAAACCTTTACTGAAAAAGCACTACAGTGTCGACGACGATGCCAAGGTTACAATACTCTGAAGTGAATCTAATATCTTTAGGGCCATAGAAATCAGTTTGGACTCACCCCAGCACTTAACTGTGTTTTATGTATTTATTGGAGGTCGCTTCCCCTTGACTTTGACTAACGCTCTCCTCTATCCATTTTCCTTTTGAATAAACACAATGGCAGAGACAAGTGTCCAGGCGCAGTGCAGATGACAAACAAAGTGAGATTTAAGAAGACACGGTGCACTGTGGTCTGCTTTGTTTGATGAGAACTGAAAAACAAGCGATACCTAAAGCTGCACTGTGTAACTTTTCTGATGAAGCGTCTGCCACCTGCTTTTTCACCATGGAGATGTTATATCTATCATCATGGAGATCAAACCAGACCAAGTTACAGGTCAGTTCTGTTAAGAGGCACAGTCAGAATGCCTGTCTAGATATTTGAGCTGTAAAACCACCTGTAAATTGAGTAAATGTAAAGTAGATCTTTTTAATGTCATAAAGTGGAACATTTGAAGCAGAGCAGTGACATATCCACAGAAACAAGCAGGTGACGTACCCCCAACCGAAAAGTTACATAGTGCACCTTTAATTTAGAGAGGGGCAAAAATCTATGGGTGAGTTATTGCCGTGTGGTCTCTGACAGCGACATGACGGTCACTTCAAAAAGCAGACTTTATGTAAGAGTTTGTAATGTGAGTGAGGCAAGGGGCAAATGGAGAAAGTCTGTCAGAGCAGAGTCTCTAGGCTCTAGGCGGAAGATGTGCTCCTATTACACAGAGGGAGCCGACGTTGCAATGTATGTCATGGGAAACAAGTAGAAGTAATTCAACTATTTGATATTGCAGCTAAAACATATCTGTTAGTTGAAATGCATTAAATGATCAGAAGTAGCTTAGTAAAGAAGTACCAGCTTGTAACAAATAATGATTCTGTGAGTAATTCTGAAGCTCATAAAAAATGTAATCATCTTAGAAGTATAGACAGTCCGTAATATCGATTGGCGGCCAATATTTACACTTTTGAGCATATCTGCTACTGGCCTTAAATCTCCAGCAGAGGCTGATATTTTGTTTGAGTTGATCTGTTGTCTTAAGAATATGGATTTTGAGTTTTGAACATTTTAGAGATAACAGCACAAAATGTGACTAAACTGCTCTTTTAAAGGTTTGTGGTAAAAAAAAAAAAAAAGGACTGTGAGTAACTTTGCAATAAATTTAAAACACAAAATTTGGGGAGAATAAACCAAATCTGCCCAAAATATCGACCTAAATATATCAGCCATCGGCAGAGGCGGCGCTATAATTAGGCAAAAGTAGGTGGCTCAGAGCAATTTACTTTTTTCTCAATATGACATTAAATGAGAGTAATTTACTTTAACAATAACAATAACAATAATCATGAGAAAAGAATAATAATCATTTGTAATGGATGTAAAGAAAAATGCAATTGTAATAGCAAAAAAATACAACTACTTCCAGTGCTGGTTATCTAGTACGTGACCGAACTAATAAAACTGTGTCCATAATTCACATAAATAGAGATGTGCATGTCTCAAGAACAATGGGGAAAACAGACAATAAATATATTCAAAACAAAACAAAAAGATGGTGCATTATAATGAGGGCTGCAAACTCAAATTCGCCTAGGGCCCCCAAATTGCTAATTCCAACACTGGACATCAGTTGCTCTGGATTTGGAAAAAGTGGAATATGTAGATGGATCCATTACAAATTAACCTCTTCTGCTGCTTTTGTTATGTCTGTCTGACGTTTCATATTTTTTATCCAGGCTTGGGGCTAGCACCGTGTGAACAAAGCAAATGGCTGCATGGACCCCTGACCTCCCACTGCTAAGAAAAACAAGTTCACCAACATTGAACTGTACTCTAGGTACTGTACCTCTAAAATAAATGTGAAAATGTACAGTTGTGGTTCAAACTCACATCAAAACTAAACTAAACTAGGATTACTAATTGATACTAAAAGTGGTATTGAAACTAGATACTCATTTGAGCAAGTATCAGTACTAAAATTAACAGTCACAGGGCAGAAATGAACCTTTCCTGAAAAGCTTTAGAGTGATTTCGAGATGATCAGAACAAGTATAAGAGCACACAGACTAGTACACGCCCATGGAAACTACCTGGACCACTGGGGGATTACACAGATATAAAACCACATGGGAATATAAACGAAAGTATGAAATCAAGTTTGGAATTCTAATATCATGAAAACACTATAATAGGGACTCATGTAAAGTGTATAAAGTGTGTATAGAACTCTCCAGAGCACATAGTGATGGTGCAGTTTGTATTTTGCTGAGCTGGTCAGGTCTGAGCTGCCCTTCAGACTGTGGGAAAGACTTATGCTGCATCATTCTCAAGGACACTCACTGTTTATGTCTGTATTACATAACAGCTGCTAGTGTCCAAAAACTCTCTCACCTAAGCATATCATAATGGAGTAATCACTGAAACAAAATAATGACTTACAATAATGTGAATACAAATAAAATGTAAATACAGTTCCCTATAAACTGAAGTCACCTTGTAGTCAGCAAAGGCCTTATGTGCTGTGCAAGTCTGACTACTAACTACACTTAAAGGTCCTGGAGGATAATCTGATATATGCTAAAAGCAGCTCTTGAGGTCAAAATAAACCCAAAGCATGTATCTAATTATAAAACATTGTACTGTCTGATAATTAGGAAGTGTGAGTTAGTGTGGTAGTTGATGATATCTTTACCGTCAGTTGTGAAAAGCCCATTACTGTGACTTCCGTATTTTTCGGATTATAAAGGCGTACTTAAAATCCTTTAATTTTCTCCAAAATCGACAGTGCGCTTTATAATCCGATGCCTTATGTCTTAATTCTTGTTGTGCTGACTGACCACAAACTGATTTTATGTGGTACACGGCTCTCAAAAATCTGTCAAAATGTTTTAGTATGACTTTGGTAAGATACAAAACCGCACCGCTTGATGGATTGTTGAAGCATTACAGCTACCGTAGTCAGGAGCCTCGCGGAGTAAGTTCAACAGAAGCTGAACCGCATCAGCGCACAAGGAGCGAGCTGTTTTTTCAGCGCTTGTAGTTTATGCAAATTAGCCATGTGGTTTTAAGTTTTGTTTCTGTAAAATGTAAACAAATCTGTGCAAAGCTGCATTAAACACATTATAACTCCTCCTCGTAGGAAATAAAAATCCAAATTTAAATTATCCACCCACATTCACATTCATAATACACAGTCACCAAGACAGGGAGGCAACACCGGGTGATTTACACCACAATCTTCCAATGGATTGGGGATGTCTGGGCTAAGGATCAGTCCCAAGTGTCGTCTGTTTGTCTCGCTTAATGCGCCTTATAATCCAGTGCAATTTATGTATGAAAATAGATGAGAGAATTCAACATTATTGATATTGCGCCTTATAATCTGGTGCGCTTTATAGTCCAAAACAATACAGTAATAAGGATGTTTGGAATGCTTAGGTAAGTGAGGAATAACTTTGGACCACTTCAAACCATTTAAAATGCCAGCTCATTTTAAATAGTTCACAGTGGTTTCTGTTTTTCATGTTCTTAAAACAGTAAAAATCAGGTACAGGGCTTTCAAGTGATCTATAAAATAAGTACATCTCTATATTTGTGTATTACTTCCTATATATATAACCCCCAAATTACGATATGTCTCTTGGTTATTCTACTACTGCTTCTATTAAGAGTTTGCAGAATCCACAGTTGCCCAGAGTTGCCTTGAAACTCTGTATAATAGCTAGAATGTGGCAAAAAAAAAAGTTTTATTTCTTATTTAATCAAACTTCAGGGTTTCCAACTTGACAAACTGGATTAGCACAGTTGATGTGGATACTTTAAGACCGTAACAGTCTGTCCTGATGTACTAGACCTGCGACCTCTTTGTGTTTGTACTTCACTAAAACAGTCCAGCACACACAGATCAATACTGACATACACTTAACTCATGTGACCCCACTCACAATCTTTTAATATTCTCCAGCTCACGACCTTTAGCACAAAGATGTCTGCAGGGTTAAAAGACAGTTCAGAGACGTGG